TGCTCGCGTGTCTGTAGGTTAGTGGTGCGGCACTGGCATTGTGTGGACTCTTCTGCCACAAAGCGATGGTAATAGCTGCCGACGTGGCCATGCCCCATGAGCAGCTGGACAAGTCGGCACTCGACATTACGAGGGTCTTCGTTCTTCTTGAAGTAACAATGCAAGGTCAACTTAGGCTCGGTCGTGACTGCTGCACGGAATTCGGATGGATGTGCGTCTCGACGGAAGTCACGCCTCCACTTATGAAGGGCTCTTATGCGTGCAGATCCCTTCGCCCACACCAGTGAAGGTGGATGAGTGGCTGGGGAGGAAGCACCGTGCTTCGCCAGACGGTCAACGATTTCATTGCCCAGAAAGCCAGCATGACCAGGGATCCACACGATTTCAATGCGCAGATCCGGTCGGCTTTCGAGCATCTCGGTTATCTTCCTATAGAAGAGGATGGAATGCAGTTGGCAGTCGTGAGGGCGGAGATCGAGAATCGACTCCACCGCTGCGCGATTATCTGAAGCAAAGACCACACATTCTACGTGCGGCCTGGTACGAAGCAGACGTGAGACATTCTCCGCCGCCGCAGCGAGGGCGAACATCTCAGCGTCGAACACCTCGGACTGACGTCCAAGGCCCCAGGATCGCTCGAGCAGAAGAGTTCCGGCCAGAAACACGCACGCACCTGCGCCCGCTCTAGGGACCCGATTATGCTTGAGTCGCGACCCATCGGTGTATGCCCACATCCAGGAGGGGTGGGTGGCAAATTCGTCCAGCTTGGGCTGGAGCACTTCGTCGACGAAGGTTTTTGAAGCACCTTTGAGGGGTGCCGGGGCGAGGACGTGAATGTGATCGCCCCACTTGTGGTAGGACTCCCATGGAGCCGCGTAGTAGGGAATGACGGGGACGACGCCTGGAGTCGTTCGCCGCGCCAACTGGTGGATGATTGTTAACGGGCGCCTGGCCCGGGAGATGACGCGAATAGGGATCGGGTACGGCTCGGGGACCGCGGTGATGGGCCAAGGATGAGGCATCCTGGCGAGTACCTGTGAAGTTGAAGGGAGTGTGTGTAATCGGACGGCGGCACGGTCGCATATGCGATTCAGCTGCCATCGCATGGGTAGGATACTGCCCAGGTGGTGCATAGCATCCACGGGTGAAGTGCGGAAAGCCCCCAAGAACCAGCGTAAACACTTGTTCTGGGCGATTTGCAACGGTCGAATGAGCGTCGCTTGGCGGAAATCATGAAAATAGACCGGTGCTCCGAAGGTGAGCACGGACAGAATGTTGGAAAGATAAATGGTGCGAGCAGCCTTGACAGACATGCCGCGAATGGTGTTGGCCAGCATACGGAATGCTTGGACCCGGGAAATAGCACGCGTCGTCATAACACGCACATGGTGACGGAAGGTGAGGCGCGGGTCTAACCAGAACCCAAGCCACCGAGTGTATGGGCGAGCAGGCACAATGAATTCGTCCCGCTCACCAGGAAAGAGAGTGATCATCGGCAAACGTACACGGTGAAGAGGGAGGTGAGGAAAATGGATGCCCTCAGTTTTCGCAGCCCCCACGCGGAGACCGAGGAGGCCGAGGGTGTGGTTCACGACAGGGACAGCCCGGACAGCGAAGTCCGTGGACATGTCGAGTGTGAGACCCTCCGCAAGCAATCCAATATCATCAACATAGCCTTTGATGAATACATTGGGATCATTGTGGAATAAATTGAAGACGGGAAAGGAATAAATGGTAGACAAGATAGGGGAGACCGGTGACCCCTGAGGGATGCCGACTCCTGAAATCGGTGCCGAGTCAGCCAGCTCGTCGCCGATGCGAATGCGAACTGAACGACCGGTGAGAAAAGATTGCACCCAATCGCAAATTGGGGCAGGGAAACCGAGGATGCGAAGAGAATGGAAAAGCCGCTCATGGCGGATGGAATCATAGTAACCCTCGACGTCGAGAGCGAGAAACGTAGCATCGCACTTTCGGTGCCAAATGCTTTGGACGTCATGGACAAGGGACAAGCCCGCGTCGATGACCGAGCTCTTATCCCGGCCACCGAATTGGTTAGTGGGGAGGAGCTCGTACCGTCCAATGTCGAAAAGGAGCCGTTTGGCCACAACCTTCTCGATGAGTTTGCTGAGTGTCTCCATCAGAGCGATGGGACGATACGCTTTAGGGAGCGAGTAATCAGGTTTAGCGGGTTTGGCAATGAGCACCACCACCGCCCGCTTGAGAGCAGACGGAAGGTGACCAAGGGCGATGGAAGAAGAAATGAAAGGAATGAATTGATGCCCCGCAGGCGAGCGCATGGCCCACTTGAGAAGGCGCCAGGTCACGCCGGACTCGCCGGGCGCCGTGGTGTTGGACGCCGTCTGAAGGACGGCAAAGATTTCCGGGCCAGTTACATCCTCGAAGGGACGTGCTGCACGCGGAGGAGGATCATCAGGAAGAGCAACCGGCAGTGGGCCCGGCTGCGGAGGAAAAAACGTATCTTGAAAAGCGGCAGCTTGCGCTGGCACCTCAAACGCGAGCCCATCACGGCCTCGAATGGGAGGTAGTGGGGCTCGACGACGGCCGACAGACCAGGATGTGAGCGACCAAGGATCGCGGTCTTGGACTTTCTGGATAACGTGGTTAGCCCAGTCTCGCTTGGCAGCTCGGATAGTGGACCGCAGCTGGAGACGTTGGGGGTGGTTGTTGAGGGGATCAGCTGCAGAGACGGCAGCCGCGGCGCGGTCACAGTCGTCGTTCCACCACAGTGAAGTGGGGGAGGAGACTCGCTTACGATCGGGCATTACGTCCACGATCGCAGCATGCATAGCATTGATGAGCGCCACGGCGCCTCGTTCCAGATCGTCGTGGATGTGATAGAAAGCCGGAGGTGGGTTGATGGCCAGCTGCAAGCCGAGGGCGGCGAGCCAGTCCTTGCGCTTTTCTGGATCGATACGCTGGCCCAGCGGCGGCGCCTCTTCGACACCACCAGGGCAGTTGATGTGGACCAACCAGGTTATGGCCCGATGATCGGATCCAAACCTGAGCTCGTCGTGTGCAGACCATTGCTGCGGGAGGAAGTTATCAGTGACCGACGACCAGGTCAGGTCAATAATGGAATTGGTTTGGTTTCGCTGGCCACATCGAGTGGGCACATCGAGGTCATTGAGAAGCATAAGGTCACGATTTGCAGCCCACGTAGTGAACTGCGAACCGATCGCGGTGTTATCATATTGAGGGATGGCGGACCAACTCCACGCTTGGTGGTGAAGGTTGAAATCGCCTCCAATAATAATGGGAAGGGTGGCGGGCACCGGGGCCCCCATGAGAAGGTTCAACTCGCGGTGGAGCGTAGCTCGCCCACGGTTGTATATGTTAGTGACGAGAAACGAGACGTCCCCGGCAGTAAACTGCAAACAAATGATATCGGGATCAGAGATAATATCGCGGCGGACATAAACCCGCCAATGGATAAGGATGTCGGAGTGAACAAATATGATAGCTCGGGGAGCACGCTCACCCAAGGAATGAGGAGTAAAGAATGCCGTCCACTGGGGGTGGTTGATGGTGCCAAAAATGGCCTCGCCACCTTCTGCCCCATGGACCTGCTGTTCGCCGATTTGTCCCCACCAGGGTTCCTGGCAGAGAAAGACAGAGGGTTGGAGTCGATTGAATATGGTATGCAGGCGCGTATTCTCACGCGCTGCATTTAGTTGAAAGAATGAAAGTGTATGAATCATTGAGAATCGGCCAGTCCCTGGGACGGAATGGAACGCGTCGCCGGGTGGCGGTAGTTTTTCCTCGTTGGGCAGGAATCATCATTGCTGGCATGAGGCCCAGCACAGTTTATGCATTTGTAATGCGTGCAGGGAGCAGATATGCCGTTTGCAGCACGGTCATCGATGCAGGGTTTGCACACATCACTGTGCGCATCCTCGCGATGGTTCAAACTGCCGCACAGCCGGCAGGCCGGTTTGCGGTTCTTTGTGGGACAGGTGGACATACGGTGGCCCATCTTCCAGCAGTGCGTGCACTGCGCAAAGATGGGGCGGTCGGTGTACTCTTTTACAGAAAGTCGTTGACAGTCCAAAAACACGAAGCGGGCCCCCTTGCCCAGGAGCGATGACTTGATCGTCCCAGAGGGGTCCTCAACAGCGAACATAATTGGAGCGCGATCGCGCGACCCCAGTTGATCGACGGGACACAGGAAACGGGGCATGATGGAGAAGTGTGCATGTGCCAACGCAGGGTTGGTCTGAAGATGGGCGCACAGCGCTTCAGGAGAATACGGCTGATCGCCAGGCGTGGCCCGTATGACCGAACCGGGGATGAAGAATTTGGTCCACTGCACTACCGGGCGCATGTCCGACTGGCCTCCCACCGCTGGGGCAGGGACGTCCAGTACGGTGCGCACGATGGGCGCGGATTCGGTGATCAGGGCTTGTGGGGTGTCGAGCGCCCACTGGAACACGAGCTTACGAGCCGGAGAAAATGTGACAGCATGCAGCGTCACCCTCGCGAAAGAGGGTTTGGCGCGCAGCGCATTGCAAACAGTACGTGTGATGGCGGGGCCACCGAGTTTATGTAACCTCACGTATTGCTCCTCCGTCAGAGAGAGCAGCGTGGGTTTGAACGTGGCAGCCTTCTTAACAGGCGCCTGGGGTTTCGCCTTAGCTGGCGCCTGCTTTCCCTTGTTAGGGGTGGCGGACGCAGCTGTCGTAGCCTGACTGTAGCTAAGCGGCGGCGTGGTATCGCGAGCAGCATCGGGGTGTGCACGTGTGGAGCGTGAGGCAGGCTTGCGCCGCACTTCATCCTCGAGGCGGTTGAAACGCCTCATGATATCGGACATGATAGGGCCAAGGGCGCCCTTGACTGCGTCGGCGATGACATCGCTCGGCGTGTCGTCGATGCGAGCTTTCTTGGAGGCCGGTTGTGCCGGTCCTCCTCGCATCGAGATCAGGTGAGAGGTAAATGAATCAGCCTCACCGACGATAGTATCGAAGGTAGGACCGAGGAGGGAGACTTTGGCGATGCCGAGGTCGTGGATGGTTAGAGAGGTTAGGTCCATGAGTTTGCTAAGGGTGCCGAGGATCTCCTCGGCAGTGATGTCCCTGCGGTCGTAGAGGCTGTTGGACAGGCGTCCAAGTTTCGTCGCGAGATCATTACCGCAGGCCGACAATATTTCGTCGTCGGGGGTGTCGAGAGGGGCCTCGTCAAGGCCATTCGGCGACATCTCGTGATCTTCGCCAGGTAGTGGTTGAGTAGAGCTCATCGCCGTCCCGGAGGGCTGCGATGCTGGAGGCTGAGACATAGAAAACTGTTTAAGCGCTGAAGAGATGATCGTGGTAAGAGAGAGAGAAGGGTTGCAGGACTCTATGCTGTTCAGCAATGTATTTGAATTGATCTTTCGTGATCAAAAAAACCAATTTCTGTGCATTGCGTGCAGTAATGTTCCAAGCTTATGACCATCGGCGCTCCGATGCTCCCGGACGTTATCTCAGCCTTCTCTTACCTATCTCTATAAAAGGTTGAATTCCATGAGTCCCCGTTTCTTCGGCGACGCTGAACGCCTCAAAGGACCTACCTGAGCGCTGCTGCTGGAAATGATGTCGGGCTCAGACGTTCAAGCCGGGTGTTTCCCAGTCGCTCGCCTTCGGCCATTTTGGCGGAGGCGTTCATCAGCCCAGTCCCAGTCGCGCGTCCAGGAGGCTCCCCGCATCGCCGAGATACCCACGGCGCCGACTGTTGATGCCGCCGAGGTGGTTCGTGATGGAGAGCTGGTGAGTGCCATAACGTGGCTATACGCATCAAGTGGGTTAACGTTCGATACGATCATATCAGCCACCTTACGCTCATTTTGCCAATGCTGGCCTCTACTACGAGCCCGGCGCCCACAAGACGGATGTACACTCGGAGAAGCCTCCCGCATATGCTGCTCATGCATTGGGAGACCTCTTCCGTGCGGACGTCATGAAGACTATCGAGGACAAGATCGACGAGCTCGACCCCGAGCTGCGCGAGCTTAGCCTCGACATCCTGCATCACCCGGAGCTTGGGTGGGAGGAGAGGTTCGTGACGTCGTTTTTTTTGAGTGAGATATGTCTGACTGTGGAGGTTCCCTCCAGACGCACCCATGACAAACTCACGAAGTTCATGTCCACGCATGGCTTCGACGTCATTCCGCACTATCTCGGCCTCGAGACTGCCTGGAGTGCGGTGTACACGTACAAGTCCACTTCCGCAAAGGCTTTGAAGGAGAAACCGCGCGTGATCGGCGTGAACTCGGAGATGGACGCGCTCCCAGGTATTGGACACGCATGCGGCCACAACCTGATTGCCATTGCTGGCGTCGGCGTCGCGCTGGCGATTAAGGCTGCTCTTGAGAAGCACGATGTGTCGGGAAAGGTTATCTTGCTTGGTACTCCGGGTACGTGTATGCGCTTCGTCAATCCATATATGCATGCTGAAGAATGGCTCGAATAAAGCTGAGGAGGGTGGAGGAGGCAAGATCTCTCTCCTCAAGCGTGGCGCATACAAGGAGATGGATGCGTGCATTATGTGCGCGTGGTCATGATCATCCTAGATTGTGTCACTTATTTAATGCATGCTCTCGGAACAGGTGCCATCCTTCAGCTACTCCCGTCGATCATGCCTACCTCGGCCCATCACTGGCATCCCAGCCGATCGATGTCGAATTCTTCGGTCATGGGTAAGTAGTTTCATTAAACGGATTCTCAGGTTCCTGATCTCGATACAATGCAGAGCTCACGCTGCGTGGGCACCATGGGAGGCGCAGAATGCACTCGACGCCGCCTTCCTCGCATACTCGAGTATCTCCGTGCTGAGGCAACAAATAAAGCCTACTCATCGCGTGCATGGAATCGTGAGTGGAAAGGACTGGGCTCCTAACAGTACGTGTTTGCGCTGGAATGTTGACTTCTTTCAAAAATGAACGAAAATTACCTGTTGACTAGTCATTCCGGACTACTCCAAGATGCGCTGGATTGTACGCGCACCGACATGGAGCGAGGTCGAAATCCTTCGAGACCGTGTAAAAGCCTGCTTCGAGTACGTGAGATGACCCTTGTATCCTGGAACCACTCACTCAGATACTTCATTCATTTTAGGGCTGCTGCACATGCCACAGGTTGCAAGTTGACTATCACTGAAGGTGTCGGATATAAGGATCTCAGACAAAATAACATCCTTGGTATAGTTTTCCCAGCATCCAGCGTGTGATTGGTGACCGACAGTCCGAATACGTTCGTAGGGCACCAATATGCCAACGTTGTGGCACGCTATGGCGTAACAACCGTGTTTGAAGAGGGCATGGCTGCATCGACCGATTTTGTACGTCCGCGCAATCTCGCACGAGCTGGATTCGCACTAATCGCATGACACTAGGGCGATGTCACGTACGGTACGATGCCCCTTTGCACGTTGCGGTCAAAAGTGTCGCGGAGTGCTGACCAACCCATCCATGACAGCTCTCCCTGCTTTGCACCCCGGATATTCCATTCCGACGGTGCCTAACGGTGCGAATCACACGCCGCAGTTCACGGAGGCCGCGGGCAAGGCAGAGGCGCACAAATCCACGCTGATCACCATCAAGGGCTTGGCGATGGCGGGCTTCAGGTTGCTCGATGATAGTGCGTTTGCTGGCGAGGTGCGTATGGCGGCTCTGTAGTATGTCGCGCCGTGGGACGTCGTGCTGACCGTTCTGTTGTAGGTCAGAAAGGCTTGGGAGGAGCAGATGAAAGAATGAGGGATGTTGTACACGCACAAGATGCTATTGTAAATCAAGTTGGCATTGATCGCCACGGTTTGTACGGCTATCGCATGTTGTTTCACACATTCAGTAGTGCCTCGTGTTCACATTTGGTAGCTTGCCTCGTGTTTACCTGCCAGCGGCAAAGCCACTCGGATGTGATCGGCCTGCGCGACGCGGTCACGTGTTCTACAGCCCAGCAGCGCGCGAGTGGCGTTGACGACCGTATATATATTAATTTGAGCCCTCCTTCTCATCCCGAACATTATCGTTTTGCATCGCCCCCGCTTCTGCTGTATAACCTGTACTTGTAAATTATTCTCGCGCCCAGGTGAGTGATTGCCTCCTTGGTCCACCAATATTTCTTGTATTGAGGAACAATGGTAGATACCTCTCACGACCCAGCGTCACGATTGTCACGAACAACTATCGACGATTACTTATCTCGACCCGTCATGGCTCTTGCGCATTCCGAGTTGCAAAACTTTGAACGTGTTGCGCATCTGTGGTATGATGACGGCAATGTCATCTTGATCGCAGGGGATAGAGGATTCCGTGTCCACCGCGGTGTGCTTATGCAGCGTTCGCCCGGGTTCCGCGAACTCTTCCTTCCGCTATCCCCAAATTACTGCTCCACGGGAGCGTGTCCCATGCTACGGTTGCCGGACGACCCACTCCATCTGGATTTTGCACTGAGCGCGCTGTATGATAGATTGTACGTCTCAGTCACAGCTTGCCGCTTGTCACTCATCCTATCGCTGAACGCCTGCGTGCGCATCTGCAGTTTCTTCGGTGACCTGGATATGCACCATAAGATACCCGAGGTGGCATCCGGAATCATATCTCTCGCGCATAAATACGACATCCAAGTCCTACATAAAGAGGCGATTCATCGCCTGTCGGAAGCGTATCCCAGGTCCTTCGAGAGGTTCAATGCCATGAGCCCATTTCAACTGGACCCCTTCTCGGCGGACGACCACGCCAGTCTCCTCTCCGTGATCAATGCTGCACGGCAGCTCAAGACTTCCGAACTGAACACCTTCCTTCCCATCGCCTTCTACCTGTGCTGTCAGCTCGATGCTATCCATCTCGTGCAAGGCGTCGTACGCTCCGACTGCAGCAGAGAATGCTTATCGCTGGACGATCTACGAAGATGCGTAGCCGGCAGGATGAACCTGATGCAAGCGAACAGTGCCGCCACACTATGTCTGCGACCGTCCGCGGAAAGCCTCGACCCATGCTGTCCGATGCCGGACTCGTGCATCGAGTCGTTGGTAGCGCTGGCAGGCGATGCACTGCAGGAGGACATCTTCGCCTCCTGTGATGCGCTGACCAACATTGACCGGTGGATTGAGGAGAAGGGGGAAGAGCGGGGACTCTGCTGGGTATGTATTAATTACATGAAGCAACGGCATGAAGAGGCGCGACGGGAGATTTGGGATGAGCTTCCAAAGATATTTGAATTGTAAAAGCATGCCCGCAGTGCACGAATGTTACTCTGCTTGGAAGATATCCTGGTCGTCTTAAATTGATTTCACTTGCTCCGAATGTTCTCATCTATCGGGAATGGCTAGAGCGAAGGCTCAAGTTCATGTTCTTATTACTGCGGAAAACAGTCGTTCTAGTGAGGTAAGCTGGTGATTGCTTATCGAGATGAACATTCGCGCTTTCATGGAAAACGCGCCGCTGAGCTGGCAATCTTTCGTGGTTATGGTAGTGTTTCGGCTTGCGCTGAATCACAATGGAATGTATGAGTTCATTTGAACCCCCTACGGCGTTACATAGGTTTAGTGTAATCTTTCATTTACCACGCTCTGCGGTAGACAAGCCTCGACCGGGATACAGAGTCGCAAGTGTATGAAATACCCCAGCCACTGTTCAAAACACAATCTGTCATAAGAGAAGTATATCAGCAAGTCGTGTTATGACGCTATTCTGTTCTGTGCAGGCAAAAACCGTACTCACTTGAGCGATATCCTCTTGTACGGCATCATAGAATGTCATGCTTTCGGTAATTATGCCATCCATGTTACCAGTGTATCTCTGTATAACCGGAATTGCGATTAATGCGGTAGAGCGAGGTTGTTCCGGTGTTTTTATCCGGTGTCCTTGGAAGAAGTGACTAAATGACTGCTGGTTATTGCTGATGCGGCCCCGATTACCCCACTCGTAGGGCTGGATCGAGAGAGACAGATATCCCCAGCGTCCTCGGATGATATCTATGCACTTCTGGCGGTAAACCAGCAGGCGATGATATTTGGCTGCCGAAACTTCCTCCATTTCTGGACAATAGGAGTCCTCTCTCTCGTAGATAGCATGTCTGGCCGCAACCTGTGCCTCTTCCTCCCATCCGTACTGGCTCGCGGCGAAGTACACACGCACAGGATCCATATCAAGGTGATCCATCACTCTTCGCTTCGCCGCCTGCATGGCTCTCGCCAACTTGTACTTGGTCGCACTCTTCAAAATGTCAATTGCGACCTGAAAGTCTCCCAATTCCGGGTCTCCGCTAAAATAGCAGCACAAGAGCAGCCTCGACAGGTTGTCACTGCGCTCTTCCAGAGCAACCGTCGGGATATCCTGAGACGTCGCATCCAATTGCAGAGTTGCGGTGGTCTCGCCTATAAGGTCCGCGAAGACTGGTGAGGAGTATGTGAGAAGGGTCCTGTGGACATGGAATTGCACTGCGTCCGAAGATAGCACGATCATGTCGGCAGGTGGTAGGTTGACTGACTGCGATGGTGACAATAATGCCCTAGGCGAAGGTGCAGTCTCCCCTGAGACTCCTCTATCTGGGTGACTCTGCCAGCCTTCAAAGGAACGTAGCTCGTCAATCGATGGGGGAATTGCAGGATTTGCACGGATGGGTCGACAAAAATCCCGATCGTCAGTTGGGCCGCCGATACGACGATATTCCAATAGACGATGAAAAGCTCCGGCAGGTATCTTGTCCATCTCTGCATCGTACTGTATGCATTGGATGCTGACCGTAGCTCTCGCAGCAAGCCTTGCCTCATGCTCGAGGTTGAAAAGGCACGCCACCGCATATGCACGGACCGGACTGGCAGCTGTGATCTGGCCAAACTGCTGCTTCAGCAGGTTCGTGGCCTGTTCCATCTGATACTTCATAGCGGCTTCCAACGCCGCGCCCATCTGGGCGGCATCTCCTATGACCGGATCTGGTATCGGGTAGCACAAGCGGAGTAGGCAATCCAGAGTCGCGCTGTCCTCGGTAACGGGAATGATGGGAACTCGGCTGCTTTGTTCGCAATGATCCTCGGGATGGACAGGCTGGGGAAGTGAGAACATGTCCTCGAAGAACCGCGACGCAAACCGCAAGATGACCATGAAGACATGGAAGTCGACCATGTCTGAAGTGCGTACAATGACGTCGGCATCCGCTTTGTCAAATGGTGACGCTGCTGTAGATGAGGTTGGCGAGCGAGAAGCCTCCATAGCTGCTGAAGGAGCCTGTGCTCAGTTGGTTGAAAGGAGAAGGATGACGGGTCAGCAGGGATGTATGCCAATCGCCTGACTTATATACAGATGAGTGAGATACACGAGGACGTGATTACAAGAACCTGATACGGAGGGCGTTTTCGCGACCGCGTGTTCACAATGCCTTGAGGCTTAAGTCTTGGAAATGTACGGTCAAACAGGCAGAAATAGTTCCATACGAGCGTGAAGGCATGAATAAACTGTTACGGAGTTGCCACAATCGGTTCGGTTGCCGAGAAGGATCAGGTCTACTTCCCAAATCTGAAGTCGCAAGTCGCAAGGTTTCGTGTCCTCAGCGCCAGTACGTAACTCTCGATACCTTGTGCTTGAAACCGAACGGCGCACAGTCCAGCCGTGCTCGAGCGCTCATAGACATGGCGGGCCGTGAGGGCGGTGATGGAGGCGATGTTGCACATTGAGCAAGCGTTCGTGAATAATTCATCATTAGCACAATTTTTGGAGAATAATTAGTCTCACCCCTTGGCATGTCATACTTTGGAAAGTCGTGCTCGTCGTTGTCATTGGACATACTTTTGGGGTCTTGACACGCCACCATGAAAAACCACTCCATGTCAAGTGCCGTGTCGATTAGACTACCATTCCAGTGCCAACTGTTGTGACAGATATCGTTCTGCAGCACCATTTATCGCATGTGAGCATACAGTTCGACTTGATGTGGAGTCTCATCTACTCTCTATAAGCATCTTTGCATCTTGTAGTAGCATTCAGATTACCTTAACCTTCCTCCACGAAGGCTCTGGCGCCATCCTCTGCACTGGACAAGGAAAATAAGAATGATTATTGTAGAGGAAGCCGGGCCGTTGCCGTTTGCTCGGTTGACTGGCGCCTCTTGAGAGTCCTGAGCCGAAAGAATTGGGAAATAGACCTGATCCTCCTCGGCAACCGTACAGATGCAGTGAGTGGCAACTCTTGCAGGCCACAAGTTCGCAGGATTCCCAATCGCCCTGGCGTGCCTCCCGACACGGACAGCATTTCACACATTTTTGCTTACATTGAATGGGCGGCTTTCAAGCTCACCGCAGCACCGGCATCGTACCTGGCGTTTCGTCGCTGTGAAGAATATGTCCATTTTGGCGGCTCTGGCTGCTCAGGAACTCGCGGAAAGAGCGTGTACCGCTTCTAACTCGTCGTCTATTCGAAGTGGGAAACGCGTCAATGATGGTGTCAGCTGATAGGACCTGCGAATATCGTGCAAATAACATACGTATGATATGGCATCAAGCCACTGCATAAAATAAAATCTATGCCTTCTGACAACAGGCTGAAGTAATAGACTAATCGGATTGAGGAGCAGAGCCGAAATGTTCCCGCCATGCCCAATTGTAGAAGCTAGGCGGGAATGCGAGGGTTCTGGAGCTTCATTGATGCATCATCGATCATCACTTGCACTGCAGTGACGATGGAACGAGAAAAAGATCGATTCCTTCCGCATAGTGTAAAAAAGTATCAAAATACACTGGATGACTATGATCGCAGAACCTAGGATATCTGGGATGAGCTAACGCGACAGCAGGGAAAAAAACGAAAACGAAAACGCGCAACTAGTATGCAAACGCAGGAAGCACGAGAGGAGGACTAGCACCACACGGGGTGCGCGCAGGTTTTGTAATAAATACAACAACGTCCATGTAAAGGTGAAGCAGCACCCATGGGTTCAAAACCTACAGCTACCAGCAGCACCAAGATCGATACAGGTCCGGCAGCATCATTCAAGAAAAGATGGTACTACAAATCCCTCACCCAACGCAGATGAACAGAGTGATCAGCCGACGGCGACGCAGCAATGCGATCATTCTGGGCGGAGTTCATTGTCGACGTTGAACCAATCGGCAAGATCGAATTCGGAACCTCTGAACATCGGGTCCTCGAACATCGCCCCAGCCGTCATGAAGTCTTCATTGGCGAAGAAATCTTGGGGGTCTTGCTGAGGCTGTGGTGGTATAGGCGGCTGATTCGGCGGCATAGACGGTGTGCCTGTGGCGTTATGCATCGCCGAAGGTGAGGGAGCCGTGATGCTTGCATTCGCTATACCGGGAGTAGGGGGTGCAGTGCCCGGACCCGCGGATGGACCGCCCGGTACAGAGGGATGGCTTGGTCCTGTGCCAAGTGCAGCATTTTGCGGGGAACCATCCTGCCGGACACTGTTCGGTACCGATGGATCACCGCTAACCCCCTCCTTGTTCTGCCCCGGCGTATTCTTCATGCTCGGCGATGGCGGCGGTGGCATCATCCCAACCATGCCCTTGTTCTGCAGTCGATTCACCCCGCCTGGACCTGTAAGATGTCCAGTCGGCCGCCACATCGGTGAGCCATACACTATATACTGACCATCTGAAGATGACGGCGAGCCCGCAGCTCCCTGTTGATGCAGATTACTGAGTGCACCCGTAGGGATGTTATTCTTGTGCATCTGGAGCATTGATTGGCTATACGTTTGCTGCGTTCGAGACGCCGTCAACGTTCGTTTTCACACCCAATGCATGATACGGCGACTGACCTGCGTGAGTTGGGAATTCATCATACCATTCGGGCCTTGGTGACTCATCATCGCGGGACTCATTGCACTATTCATTGGAGGCCCTCCCATGGGAGCCATTTGCATCATAACATTGGGTGGCATTGGCATCCCTGGTCGTTGGGAGAACTGGGGCATGGGTCTCATGTTATTGCCCATTTGGGGTCCACCAGGTCCACCAGGCATGGGCGACTGCTGAGGGAACAGTGAAGGCATAGCTGCCGAATGCATCGCTGGTTGCTCGCCACCAGGAGACTTGCGTAGTCGCTTCCGATCGGGAGGCGATGATTCAGACTTGATATCCTGCTGTGACACAGTCAGATATCGTTTGAGAAAGGACACAAAACGTATAACGTACATCTTGTCCAGGAGAGGTACTACTGCGTTTGTTCCCGCGCGCTTGCTGCTGTTGCTGTTGCTGTTGCTGCTGCGCTTGAGCCTGCTGCGAAATTTGTGGCATCTGCGGGTTGCGAGGTGGTTGCATTGCTTGATTCGAGCCCGAAGGCCCAGCACCTGCATTACTTGGCCCAGGCATCCCAGACATCACTTGCTTGCCTTGCGGAATATGTCGCCTCTGCCTTGCAACATTTAATACTCGTTGCTACAAGGAACATTCAGTTTGACAATCTGAAGTTATAGGAGGTGGCACGGACCTTCTCGTCTGGCGTCAAGATCGACAGGTCCCTATCGCCAACCCCTGCCTCCTGCTTGACCATGCGCAGAAGTTCTGGTGGAAAGCGATGCAGCTCAACGTCTTGCATTTGCTGAGCGTTGCCCGGCATGTTCGGCGGCTGACGCGCTGCCATCGATGGACTTCGCGATGGCATCATGCCATTCTGTGCTGGTGAACCAGGCTGGCTTGGAGATCGACCGATCTGTGGAAACATATTTTGAGGAACCTGTCCTGGTGCCAACGATCCTTGGGGACCACCCGGAGGTGGCATGCCGCTACGGGCATTCATTTGGGTTAGCGGCTGCGAGGCGCCCATCTGGCCTATCGCGGAAGCGGAATTGGTTTGCGGCCCCGCGGCACCGTTCTGGGGAGGGTGAAGTAGAGTCGGCAAACTCGAAGCGCGACAACGTCACTCTCGCACTTACCGGTCTTTGTCCAGCCAACAGTGGCGGTATATGATGCGGCTGTGTCGGTGGTGCCGCCCCGGTCGTACCAGGGGCGACATTTCCGTTTGCTTGAGGCAGACCAGAAAAAGCCGATGCTGTTGTCCCATTCGGCAGCGTTTGTTGAGGCAAGCCATTGGCAATTATGCCGTTTGGCATCGAATGACCTCCAGGTCTGACAACACCGTTGATCATGCGAGTCTGCGGAACTTGTGGCGGGAGCCGAGATTGCGCTTGCTTCTGTGCCTGTTGCTGATCAGCTCAATGAGCGATACTGAGTGGCGATATAATTATTTTACGCACCTGCGTATACAGCATCGCATCATCTGGGCCCTGATTATTGCTCTTTGCCTGAAACAGCACCCAAAATACGCTCCACCACCTAAAACCAGAATTCCAGGGGTATGTAATTTGGCAATAAAGTAAGACTCACTCAAACAGCAGACCTTGCTTAGCGTTAATCGGAGGCGTTGAATCGGGAGGGAGCCTGGCCTCTTGAAGCAGCGCTTTAGCAGTTTGCTCGAAACCACGCTTGGTACAGTAGTCATGGATATATATATTAAACCTACACACCGCCACAGATCAGTCAGATAGTAAATGGACACCGATAACAATGCAACTGACATTCCTTCCCCTTCCCAAGTCGGAGGAGGTGTAGAGGTGTGGGGATTCTGGTTCGCGCCGTCTCCGCCTGTGGCCATGGCTAGTGAGGACAGGATCAAAGGTGATATGTGCGACGACGAGGGTATCAGGAATGACAGTCAAGCAGCGATGCACTGGTGGGATGACTGGTGCAACGCGGATGTCGAGGGTATGCAAGTCAAAGAGGGTAGGATGGGAGCGTTGTGCAGAAGACGGTCCCGAGACGCAAAAGGACTAGACCCGGCGCTGTTAAGTCAAAATCGAGGCAATGGCAGAAATGTCTCGATAACGGTCGACGCGATGTCGGGAGGGGGTCGTTGAGGTTGTGGCCGTCGAGGGCGACGACGAGGAGGGAGATGGTATCGGCAGGGCTGGGAAGACGTGACGGACGAAGACAGGCGCAGTGCAGAGCCAGAAGCGCGAGGACGTCCCGATGGGAATCGGGCGGACCAGGGCGGACCGCGAACCAGTTCGGCAGTCCCCGAAACGCCACAGCACCTTCTCACCCCGCGAAACATCGGCAAATGACAGAAACTGCTAGCTCGTACATCATCTGCATTATTGGCTAATATTAGGAGATATTAGATTAGCGAGTCATGTCCTCAAACTCTCGTCACTGTCGTCGTACCACCGCGATCTGAAAGTCCCAACCACCCACAATGTACTTCACCTCCAGCAGTCGCCGGATCTCCCGCCACCCCGTGTTCATGCCCTCCAGCTCCTTGCGGTCCGATACCACGTAGATAAAATCTGCCGGCGACAACAGCGAGCGCAGAAAGGAGCCCATGAGGAATGCGATAAGCGCAATGATAACCACCGTCGACAGCGGGTACATCCTGTTCGCCGCATTGCGCGTCAACAGCCCCACCTGCTCGCTCTGAGCTTCCGATGCAGCGGAGACATCCTTACCAATGCTATCTTCCGGGGGCGAACGAGGCATCGCTCCAGGCAGAGGAGCTGGGCTCGAAGTCATGCTTGATCGCCGTGACTGCCCTGTAAAGCGTGTCCACGGGCTGGAATACGCGTTCAGGAAACGCATGAGCCCGCCCGAGTCAGGTGCCGGCGCTTCGGGCGCAGAGATTACCACTTGCGGGACCTGCACATCGCAAACATCCTTCTCAGCATGTGTCATCTGACGGTAAGTCCGAATCAGGCGCTCACGCTATTGGCACCAGTTTCTGGCGTCATCTCCTGCGCTGCATCTGTGCTGTCGTTCTCTAGCGTCTCGACCTTCGGCGTGTTCTGCAGAGCCAGTGCCGAGACTTCCAAAAGATCATCCGCCACAGCAATGGGCACCTGCAGTTCCTCCGGAAAGTGGTCACCCTCTCCTGATGAACTATGGACGTGAGACGCAATCAGTCATCCCGCGCCAAATCAAATAGGAAGAACCCGCATACCCAATGAGCAAATCCATCTTCGACGCCCGGCTATCCAGTAGCTCATCCCTTCCGAGACTCGTCAATGATTCCTTCTCATCAAGGACTGGCACGGCGCTTCCATCGACCAGAACTATTGTTTTCTTCCCGGAGGGCATTGCAATCGCCGGCTTTATCTCGATATCCAGGATAACGCAGCCTTCTTCCATTTCCAATAGCCATTGCGGCTTCGGCGGGGCGCTCTGCGTCTCCCCTGTGAGTGGATCATTAATAGTGGATACCTGGTACTGCGCCGTAGGGAGCGTGAGCCGAAGGAGATGGCGCGGCGGACGATCTGTGTTCAGTCCCGCTGAATGCAGCGGTGAGGACGGGAGCGTGTACACGGTGTATACGAACGGCAGCGTGTGTTCGGAACGCCTGTCGCCAAGTGGCGAAGATAGCGAGATCCGTTCCTTTAGTTTGTCGATACATGATGCGACGTGGATTTCATATCCATCCGGATAAAGTTTTGAGTCCACAATCAGCTCCGCGACGAGCAGATTCGCCGGGTGGCGTACTTCTCCCCTGGAGGTGAACATGGTGGCTGAACGAACGCCGTCTGGCGACCGAGATCGAGCGGAATCTGGAGACTTCTTGTCAGTCTGCTGGGTGGAGGAGTCGGGGCTGACGCTTGAGGTAGCTTTGCTGCGGCTCTGTCTTTGTGTTCCTTCGTCTGAGACAGGTGATATCTGGCGTTCATCAGCTGCGCGAGTCTTGTTATTCTTACCAAGTGCAACAGACAGTGGTCGCCGTGATAGAGCCGTCGAACTGTTGAGCAATACCATACTCTTGAATACCTTGTCCACAGGATTGTATCTGTGAACAACCAGCACGCGATGGGGATCTCGGCGTCGCAGTGTCCACGCCTTGTGCCTCAATAGACCTTCTGTCGCTTGCGAGAGTATCACTCCAGCCGCCGGCAATCTGGGTGATGGAGGCGGTGAGATACTCTTCACATATGCTTCTACGGCCAAGATAGACTTCGGCAGCATACTGTTGATCGATGCGTTTACGGCAGCAGGGATCGAACCCGCAAAGTCTACCGCGACGACTCGAGTGCATCTAGTCGACGGGATAGCATAGTTCTCCGCACCATAAGGGTCCAGCGTCTCCAGTATCCAGCCGTCCACGAAGACACGTCCCATGGGTAAGGAATAGGAATTGTACTTTGACGGCGCGAACCCTGCTACGGAGTCAGGAGAGAAAGACGCCGAGACGCAGTATATGGCAGCCCTGCTTTCCTGGGTCTCGCTTGATTCGCCTGTGTTCCGGCGCAAGAGCGAAGGCACGATGCTCCCTCTGGCCATCAACGAAGCAAGGTAAAATCCTCGGTCGCGGAACGGGAAACCGCCTTTCATGATCACAAACTCCGTGTGCATCTCGGCGCCAAACGTTTCGAACACCTGAGCAGAGTCGAATCGCGTGTCCCATTGCTTGCGGCAATCATGGCTCATCAGAACAGACGCAACCTCATCTGCGGCCACACCCTCAATAACCCTCTCGCCTCGATGTACAGGGATGACGGGCGATATCTCCGCATCCACCTTCCGGTAGACAGGCACGTCCTTCTCGTTGACCAGCGTCCATTCGTCGGAAGGCACTCGCGAGTGAATGCTCTGGAGATATGTGAGTGCCTCAAGAGCGTACTGCATTGGCGGCTTGGATGCAAGAGGCGAGATTTCAGCGAAGCTCGTCACGACAGGCGAGATAGCAGCGACAGCTTGTTGCGTGGTCGTCGTCGCCTGCTCAACCGCATAATTAAACCAGCGGTTGAATGAGGTAGCAAAAGTCGGTGCAGAAGTGACAATGCCCTCCGACAGACTAGGCTTGTCCCCCTCCTCCTCGTTCTCGACATTCTCTGTCTCTGCATCAGCATTCCATTCCGCCCTCCGTCTCCGTATGACGCCAAGGACGGGAGGCTGATCAAGCGGCACGCGCTGAGGCTTGACACGCTTCTTCTTCTGCAGGCTCTTCACTTCGCGCTCAGCCAGCTCCTCCACATCCACATCTACCTTTGCACCATTCACCATCACCAGCCCCTTCTCCTTCGCCACGCCAGGGCCACGTCGCACGATTATTTGCAATCGATCGTCGTCCGTGAAGACCGCATCGTGAGTAATCGTGAGCCATAGACCGCCACCACCGGAAGATAGACGGTGTCGCCGGAGACACGCTATCGATTGCGGTGGCGGATCGACCACAATATCCAGAGAAGACGCCCAGTTATCTAGATCACACCGCAACTCGCACTCGATGACGGGCAACGCAGGTGATGTGGGTGTCGCAGGCGTCTCTTCCGACGTCGGCTCATTTGTCCTCCGACTGGCTGCACATGCCTCATACTCGACGCGGAAGTTCCATCGCTCGTGGTCGTACCGCATCTGCGTCGCCTTTGCGCCCTCCAGCCGCGTGATGATCGGTGGTCCTCCACACTTGATGGCGAACTCGCCGACACCCGCTACGGTAGCGATCATCTGATGTGGGATGGACGTCTTGTTAGACCAGCCCTTTGGATCGGACTGCTCGAGTAAGGTTAGCTGTGTTGTGGTGGGAGACAGCACCTCAATGGCCCAGCCTTGCAGGTCGATCTGCGTCCGGATCACGTTTGGGTCAACAGGGGGTATGTTGGGAAATAGATTTGGGTCGTCTGCTGAGAATGCAAACACATGTATTGTAGTCGGCGATTTGTACACCGTTTTAAGGACCACCGAGTCTCGTCCACTGCAAGACATGCTCAGCACACGTATCTGTTTAGGAACAGCAGGGCTACGCACGTAACAGGCCACGCAGGTTTCGTCTTGAAGTGCCACAGCTCCGTCAGCTCATTGACATGCTCAAGCAGGGTACTATCATCATACAATCTATCCCAGTACGCACGCGCACCCGGTGTTGCAACGGCAGCGTAGAGATCCCACAGCCCGAGGCCCACGAACGTTGACTCCGCGCGGTACACCACCAGGGTCGGGTCGATCGAGTCAAGTTGCGCTATGGACACTCCTCGCGTCTCCATAGCTTCAAAGGGGTGAGGACTTGTCACGAACGCACAGTAATGCTGCACTTACTGCGTCTCCACTTCGCTTCTGGTTCCTGCAGAAGAGACGAGAAGTAGATGTAATTGCGTTTCACCCTGGACATGATAGACTTCTCCGCCGCTGCCGTGCGTTCGGTCTGCATTCGTCCCAGAGGCGGCCGTTCCGCCAGTGTGGACGATCTGGAAGCGCTCTCAGCAACCGTCCCAACAGATGAATGTGTATTGAGGCTCATATCGGCCGTGCTAGAAGCATCTTGCAACACCTGCTGAGAGATCGTGTACGAAAGTGGATCCCGCTCCTCAACCTGCTCTATTGGCTGAGGAATGCCATTCAAGCGAATCCCACCAGAGGACCCAGAGGCCTCGATAACGACCCTGACTTTCAGAACAGTGTGATCGTCTGGTAATGATGCATGCTTGACCGCAAATACAATATTCTCGTCCTTGGCGGTAGTCGAGCCTGATCCCTGAGATCCAGAAGCAGTCCGTGTCGCGCGAGCCGTCCATGGAAGCTTTGCAACGTGATCAGAAGAGGCTTTCGTCGTGATTTGGACATCCCAGCCAACCGCGCCAGGCACCGCGCACTCAATCGAACGCGTAAGCCTTTTGTATTCGCGTATCGCGTGTAGCTCGTCCAGGCCTTGCTCTGTCGTGTGTGGTATGTGATCTTCATCTTCTGGCACAACCGAATAGTCCAGTTGGAGTGCCTCACGATCGATCTCAAATCGCAGGCGCTCAACGGATACTCCATTGCCATAGCCGGTGAGCTGAGGGACGCGATTGCCACGCGTGCACACCGTCTTGAAGAGGCCGATCATCATAGCGCAAAGTTGCTGAGCGAGACTGGAAGTTGTGTTGAATGTCCAAAGCGATTTGAAGTCATGCTGCCAAAAGCAGGTAATGCGCAGCCTAGGTTCGTGCTTAGACGAAGGTTGCTCGCCAGTGAGTTGAATACACCATGCGAAGACTGAAAGGAAGTCAACTTTGGAGAATTCCAACGTAAGAAATCACGTACGCGTAGCCTCTGATCGCACGTATGGAGGAGAAGGACGCAGGTAGGCTGGCTCATCGGGAGAGCGCGGGAGAGACGTTGAGATGTCGATCAAAGTTGTAGCGTCGCTGAAGCTGCGGGATATCGTCACAGCGTCTCTAGGACTATAAGCGCTCTGTCAATGACTGCAGATGATCTGCTCTGCTGCTACTTACTTGGCAGGCCAGCCAAGCGTGAAGTTGATCTTGGAGACCTTGGTACTCGGGTCGAGCATTTCGACGAGATGCGCACCTTCTACCGCGGGGTCCCATTCTTTCCGAAGCTCCGGCGTGGATAAAACCGCTTTCCAGCTATTTAGCGAGACTGGAGCATCACCCGCTGGCACGTCAAGGATAGCTCTGTATATACTCTCGGCAGACTTGTTAGCCTTGCGATGAATGATTACATCAGTGACTTCAGGTTGTGAGGCACGAGCCTTTCCTTTGCCATTGCTATCGCTGGGCACAGGGATGCGCTTCCATTCCGATGAAGAATGGGAAGCTAGGAGTTGTCGAAAGTTGGCCTGGGCATCGTCGAGCGAGGCGTACCACGACTGCCGCAAGCTGTTCTACAAATCAGAGTCTGGCCTTAGCACAGCAGATGTCACGCACTGTGTCCCATCCAGCATATGGCGAGCGAAAGTCGTTCAGGCGAAAGTCTGACCTCGAGGTCGATGTTGTGCACGATCAAGCTGCGTGTGGCCCCGTTCCACGTGGATTGCGCGGCACACGTGATCCATGACACGTTACACGTGCGGTACGGTTTCCCCTCGCGATCGGACATTCGAATTCGGTTCCACAGCCGGTAGTGTACGCGCATAGGGCCGGTACCGGCAGCGCCCGCTACGACGAGCAGATCGCGCCCGGCACATTTCTGGTCTGTATCTGACCCGTACGTTCATTCAAGAGACGCTGTGTCAGCATCCGCGTCCTCGAGATGTGTACGGGATTGGCATACAATTAAATGCACGCAGTACTGTGAGTATATCGCAATGGTACGGCTTATACACATCAGTGAACGCCGTGTTGTTCTTACTGCGGGTCATGTGTGCGAGCTTCAGCGAGGGCGGAAGGCGAACAGTTCTCGCACATGTTCAGGCGAGTCAAGCGGCATTTCACTGTCTAATGTGTGCGGCCGTGGCAGTTGATCTACGGGCACAGAGACCGTACACATCACGCCAGTATGGCATCTCACACAACGTCAAGGCGAACTTCACGATCACCTTTGGCGAGAGGAACGGCAAGTTGGTGATGCAGGTGACTGCTGGCGGGTACATGTATGTACCTGTTGCAGTGTCGACTGCAAGAGTGAGCGGACACGGGCTTGGCTAGCGTGAGTGGTATTGGCGAAGCCGTACTTTGTTCTATCAATTGCTGAAGGTTTTGTATCGTGAGGCTCACTCACGGGCGTGCATCGCTGAGTCGACCCGCAAGGTGAGTCGCGCGTTTTTCTAGCATTCATGTCCGTCTCTGACGCTCTAAGCTCTAACCTTTGAACACAGTTCACATTACGTCTGCTGTTCAATGGTCCATGGTATCTGGCATCCTCTCGGTACGTACGTCTCGTGAGTTGCTGCAGTCGCCGTACCTGTCTAAGTTCTCGATACAGTTTACAATATTGATTTCAACACTTGAGCACTGTTCCATTCTGACGAGTGATTGTGTTCCTTGGTAGTGCTATGGATGTTTCAGTAGATCCCAACGAATATATTTTGTTTCAATGTTATGCGACGCATATACACGGCAGACATGACGCGATTTATAAATGTGGAAAATCGTGTGGGAATGTCGGCTGATGTCTTACATTTGTGGCAAAGCTTTGCCAACTTAGCATTTGAACGGCAAATAGTGAACATTCACAGCCAAAGTGAAACATTTTCAACATTAAATGCCATGGTTGCAAATATTCATTGCATGTGTAAGAAATCAGTCGACATTCACACACATTTTCCCACATTGATAAATCGCATCATGTCTGCCGTGATAGTGACTGTATGCATGCCGCGCGATACAGCAAGTGCCAAGGACGTACGTGCGCGCGCCAAAGCGAGGTCATCTAGCGGAGAGTTTTTTCACATCCCAGTGGAGCAGTCCCGTGAATTAACGTCGTTTTTCAGGTGATGTCGATTTTTGGCGGGAAAGGTTCCCCATCTTTTCGCTAAGACCCACTACTGTCGTAGCGGAAATATGTTGAACTGCCTTCGAAGAACTCACGGAGATCTCAATGCGTGTCCTCTCCTTGCAAAAGGATATACAGACATTGGCTAGTGGTTGGCCTGTTAGGATTCCGTGTGCGAGTCGGTCTGTCAACATTCGAAAAGGCGAGATACCTCCCATGCAAGTACGCCTCTCTCAAATTGCTCCTCTTTTTTTTCACTTGCACGTTCCGTTGACATCGTTGATTTTTTCGGATTTGATTGGTGCGCTAACCTTACACCATGTCGCAGGGTGCGATGGCGCTCTCTGTGGACTGGGAGACTTCATGAGGATATTCGGTCCCTCCCCCCGGTCTTCCCGGGGGCGGAAGCCGTTGACATGCTTATATGATTACAGCTACAATCTTTGCCGCCGTGTTCTTCGATATCTTCAGCTTGTTTACTGCATCTGTGAAGAACTGTAGGTTGGATATGTCACATCACTGACATGAGTTGAGAAAAAGTTCAAAGCTGACTCTAACAGCGTCTAGATTTTCACCCATGCGACATGTTATCAGCTTGAGGGATATATGGGACCTCCATTACCTGATGTTCCGTGGTCAAATGATATGAGATTCTGAGTGGGCATCTAATGTTCGCCGGAACTGATTTAAGTCACGCAGGGATCATTAGGACGGATATTGGAAGTGCCAGCACATATAGGTTGCGGAGAACAGAAAATCAGAAGCAAAAGCTTCCCAGCATTCAGGACGGTTAAGGTGAGGAATATTATGACGAATCATGACAGGGCACACCCGTCTGGCGTCAACCGACTCTGAAACATCAACTTTTTTTTTCTCACGTGTTGACGGCGAATTTCGCAAAGTTTTTTCTCCGTGACATTCATTGGGTGAGTGATGCTGGAATGCGTTGCTGCGACGTGCGAAACTGATCCACGTGCCTGTGTTGCATCGGGTGTCAAGTGTGAGACGAACAATGTGCAAGACTCTCCTCAAAAGCTGACATACTGACAAAGCGCGACAATGGAGGCGATCAGTGGCGCAGCTTAGTTGTCAAAAATCACATACTTCTCTTCTGGTACTATCTGACCCACGCACATGGGAAACATCAGGAACGTTCCTTACAGCTGAATTCAAGATAATAGGCCGTGCCTGAAAAACTACACATGGGCCCAATTCATTGGGATGAGAGAACCTCATCCAATATTGGTTGAAGTGGCTCGAAGTGCCCTGTGTGCTGCTCCTCTCGGTGTCCAGCAGCGGATAGAAGCCTTCTGTCTAATTTGCAACGCTTTTTGCCTGCGTGCGCTATATTTCTGGCGGACCTATCGTTTTATGTTTCACTGTGTGGAATCAGGGGGAGGCTAGCTCTGGCGCTGGCTCCAAAACGTATATAAACCTATAACTCGTCTCTTCCTTGACAGTTGCTCACCCGTATCCTTCCAACATGTCTATCCAGAAGACCTCCACAAACGTCAGCCCAAGGGCCATACACCGCAGTGTTCCTCCCTTGTGGCATTCTTATCTGAAGTTGGCTAGAATGCATACTTGGCCCGCGGGAACCCTGCTATTCTTCCTGCCATGCAGTGCGGCCCCATCCTTTCTGCTGCTTGTGCTTGTGGTTAATAACCGTCATCTCGCAGCGTGGGCACTAACCATGTCAGCATATACCTCGGGGCTCCCGCCGAAACACCTCTTTATTCAAGGGCTAGGTTGTCTCCTTATGTGTACGGTCCGCCACAGCGCTGCTTGCATCTGGAACGATATTTGCGATCGGGACTTTGATCGTAAAATCGGTGCAGAAGCTCCCCCTGGTTTCGCGGTTATCCACTCACCTTCATATCATATATCGCGTAGAACGAACTAAGACACGCCCGATAGCATCTGGAATAATCTCGGTGTCCTCTGCGCTCCTATTCCTTGCCGTAAACTGCATTATCTATCTTGCAATGCTAGCGCAGGCAGGGCGTGAAGCGTAAGTACAACATGACTACGATTGATGCTGTTGGTGTTGGCTGACTCCTCGCATTCAAGTATGAACTTTGGCATCATCGGCCTCTTCACATTTGAGATGATATATCCTATATCTAAGCGGTTCACCAATTGGCCACAGGCATGGCTAGGTCAGCACCGAATTTTGCTGATGAACGAGTATCTCTCAACATAATAAGCAGGCGTTGATTGCGCCTGGGGTGTGCCCATCGCATGGGCCATCAACCACGAGACGATGAATTGGGAAATAGTCTTCATCCTTATGGTCGGTATCACATGGTACGTTGCACTTTTATGGCGCACGGCGGCGTTTTCTGAGAGGCCAACTACAGCTGGGCCATTCATTTTGACACCGTATATGCCTGCCAAGACAGACAGGAAGATGCACAGGTCGGAGTGCGTTCCTGCGCTCTTCTGTTCGGGAATTACGTTCGTCCAATTCTGGCACTATTTTCTACCGCATTTATTGCATCTCTTGCGTACGCCGCATATCTGAATCGGCAAGGGCCGCTATACTACATCATCGCCGTCCTGGGATCAGCTTTGCATCTTGTGTGGCAATTTGCGAGCAGCGACGACTGGGAAAAAGATGGCGGGAGGATTTTCAAGGTTGGTCAGGGATTCGCACCACGTTGTTCGCGATGGTAGTTGCTGATAGCATCTTTCTGCAATCCAGTCGAACGGTGACCTTGGATACATCGTCTTGGCGGGGATGCTATGTGACTATGCTTACAAAGTTGCGGTTTAATTTCTTGCGTCGCTGCTTAGAATGCAGCAGAATCCTCGCACATAGATTCATATATGACTTGCAGTAGAAGAGGATGGAGGTCGTTTCGCAGGTCTCTAACGCGCTTTGCCATGTTGCTCGAATCATCTTGTGGTTAAATAAATGAGATGCATCTACACTGTGCATATTTCGCACCTGAAAAAATAATATCAATATGTACAGAACATGGACCTACTGGATGCAAGGTTACGGTAGCTTTGTCGGTGACACAGTGAAAGTTACCCTGAGCGGCACGTGTGGATGTTGTATCAAATTGGTGGTCCGATTGATCGGGGAGAACGTTGAGTCAGACCGCGAGCGCTTCTCAAGTTCCAGAAGCGCAATCACTCTCCGCCACCGGGATACGCAAATCTCGCAAACAATGTCGCAAACAGATTCCGGGAGAGTGTTGAGCATTCAATCGCACGTCACATTTGGCTATGTAGGAGGGAAGGCTGCAGTATTTCCTCTGCAATGTCTAGGATACGACGTTGACGTACGTATGAACCTCGGAATACATGCACGTTGTTGAGTCTCACGTGTTTCCAGGTCGTGAACACTGTAAACTTCTCCAACCACTCTGGTGTGTCTTGTTAGTTGCAACCTGATGGCTACACTAGTCTCACTTGGAGCCGTCGTCTTCTTACAGGCTATGGGCGATTTGGTGGGTCGAGAACAAGCGCTGCAGAACTCGCTGCAATTTTTCAGTTAATGGAACAAAATGGTCTATTACTATCCGAAAGACTTCTCACAGGTAGTCCAACCCAAGTGATCGTTGTTGATATTTTTAACCGTCGAGTAGGCTATATTCCGGGCGCTGAGGCCCTGTCCACTGTCAAAGAACTCGCGGCCAAGATGCGGGCAAATAACACCAACTTGATATACCTTCTTGATCGTATGTGAATTTCTTGTGTCAGCAGCACGGACAAGTCAATGTGGAAAGTGTCTACTCCATTAGACCCCATTGTCTCGCCCGGGTTGTAAAATGAAATATTGTATAGTATGTCATGGAACTCAACTTGCCACAGCCGTGCTAGGAGATTCGGGAAAGCTGTACGTCGCACCAGATACGATACCAGTATATCGAGAAGCCCTGCAACATGCCACAATCATCACGCCCAACTGGTTCGAAGTAGAGTGCGTATACACAGTAACACATCTTGGTCAGGATTATCTCACCATCTGTCATCAGGGTTTTGACAGATATACGGATATCCGACATGAACACTTTGCGTCGTGCGATCCAAGTCCTCCATACAAAATACCACGTTCCCAACGTCGTTGTCAGTTCTATACCCCTCCAGAGCTGGCTCACGTCTGCGCTGCCTTCCTACATTCGTCCAGGCCTCGAGTCACGCGACTCAGACTTTCTCGTATGCATCGCGTCCTCAGTAAAGAGCTCAGAACCCGGACGTACGGAGGACGGAAACTGGTCAGCCACAGTCCACGCGCAATGCATTCCATGCATTCCAGGCTACTTCTCCGGCGTCGGCGATCTCTTTTCTGCGCTCCTCCTCGGCCACTTCAAGCCTTCATCCTCCATCACTGCCCCGCACCTGACAGCTACCTCAGAGACGGAGACGCCGCTCTCACGCGCCGTCTCACAGGCGCTCACAAAGACTCACGCGATCCTCACGCTGACGCACGAACATGCTGTGACGCTGCCGGAGGAGGACCGCCTGCCGACAGACGATGAACTCGACGCGAGCAAACCCGACAGGAAAATTAGGCGAATGCGCGGTCGCGAGCTCCGGCTCATCCAGGCACAGGACATTATTAGAGGCACGAAGCAGGTAGAGTACAGGCAGATGGTGCCTTGGACCGACTTTTGGCAGATGGAGAACACATAAATGAGGCACTGCGCAGGTTCTGGTTTCGCTGGAGTTACATACATTTAGATCCTAAGAATATCCGCAAGTTACTGGTGATAGACATAAATGCTGTTGTACCTTAGGTAGCCTGTATGGTGCCGCTGGGAGTGGATCGTCGATGCTTTCTTCTGTAGTAGCCGATGCCCATTGCCCCCAAGACTCCAAGCACAAGGCCGAGCAATGCCCCTAATACCTCCGCAACGATGTCACTTGCTGTCTGAGACCTTTTGACGGCTTGCTGGGCAGGACCGACAGATACCGTTGGCGAAAATGAAGGGATACTCGTTGAAGGCGGAAGCGTAGTCGTAGGGAAAACCGATGTGCTGCGCAACAACATCAGGACTCACTGACCGACGTCCAGCGAAGAATTTATCGTACTCGTTATAAGGCGTGATTATCGTTATGTTCAAGATATCCAACAAAGCAGATTCATTGGTGGCGGTATATGTTATGGTTAAAGTTGTAGTTTGGCCTTCAGGTAAACCGATGACAGAAATGAGCCCCGCAGACGTGTTCACTGCTGTGGTGATCGATATTGTTGGATCCTCTGTAGATAAAGTGATGTTGGCGGTTGCATTTGATCGTGAGGATGTATATATGTGAAGAGCGGTGCCTATAAGCTCCATGAGTACGTTTGACCACAAATGTAGGGCGCTTCAAATCTTGTGAAATTGCAGTACCTCTGAAGTCAAGGAACAATTGAGGAATTATATTCCCACTGCCATTTGTTGGCCCACTAGTGGACACAAAGTCCGAAGTCGGAGTCACGCCGGGCAACGTTATGATCTGCCTTCAAGCGCCATAGCCAAGCGACTGGGTCAGCCAGTTGTGCAACTTCCAACTGTACTGATGAGCTCACCATGCGCTCTCGCAGGCCTTGGACGAGGCGTTGCATGCGGGTGGACTGTAGACTATCTCCGAAGCAGTCACGTTCAAAGTCACGTTATACTGAGCAGCGCCAATACCCCACAGTCCAAGCAGGGACGGCGCCAGACAACGTAGGAGAGCACCCAGCCGCATGTGCAGTGATACGTATGCTGTGCCAGAGAGGCGCGGAAGAGGGCGAGCAGAGGCAAACCCATCCACGAGGGTTCCATGCTGTGAATGAGGGAAGCACAGCTCTTGAAATACTTCTGCCGCCCAATCTCCTCGAATTACTGTGCCATGACAACCGTGAGAGGATGAGAAGGAACAGACAGACTCGGACCGGCGTTCATGATGAGAATACTGTACTTGGAACGGATGCAGTATTGCCTGAAGTTCACGGTCATTGGTTAGGAATCAGGAATCAGTGACGGGAGGTTGATTAACAGGGCGCCGCTCACTGCAAAGCTCCCGGGCAATCCAACATGCTGCGCGTCGACAAGAGAGAGGTTGAGGATCCGGTCATGGCAACGAGCGGACATATGCATGTTCAAGTCATCATTGAACTTCAATATTGACGGCGGGAGGCGGGTAGACGGGAGGCATCTGATGGAATTCTCTGGCCAGCTGACATGTTAAGAAACGCATCATTAGTTATTCGAAACTATTGATCCATCATTCGGAGTGTTCAGTGAAGCGATCGTTTGCAGCATGGGGACACGACGCGAAGAAAAACCAAACTTGTACGGCAAGTCCACGTGGATCGCCTGCCGGGCGAAACAGCTTCCTGACTTGGTTGCAGAGGCGCCGGGCGCCGGTTCCAAATGACACGAAAACTCAATCACAGTAGCGGAACATGCGGTGTGTATTACTTATGCGAACGTAGCTCTATATTACATCTCTGCAGCGCGACGGAACGTATAAACGCGCTCGATACCACCTCCGTGTTGTTGAGTACAAGGCGCGCTGTCATGTGGATCGCCTGCCGGGCGAAATAGCTTCCTGATTGAGCTCTGTGGCCACCGTAGCTACTAGTAGGGATCCGATTAGCATTTGCAGCCTCATTCTTGCCAACTTCATGCTTGAAGGTTAACGTCGCCTGTACCAAAAGCTCAACTTGTCGCATGACAACCGTGCCGAGTGGTATTGCGTGAAAGGATGAGTATGATTGATATTCCTAGACCATCCTCGCGGACACCTGGAACACGAACAACCAAAAATTTAACTGACAGGCCTAGGCTGTATTCAAAGAATAACGCTGCACAGCAAAGAAGTTACCGATTCTCATTACAGGAAAGGTGAGTAATTCAATAGCCTTTCCTATCAAGCTTTTTGCACCGTTCTTCGGCGTTGGTTTGCGCCAACTGCTTTTATTGACAAACTTTTGTACACCAGGAACTGGTTTCCCATGGAAGGTGATGCTTTGATGTCTAAAAACCGAGGAGTCTCTGATCAACGAAGTGGACGAAACTGGGAAAACTGGGTTATCCTTTATGTAAGCTTACATTATTATTATTCAGATAAGTGCAAGGGACCATCAGGAAATGTTGCTCATCTCTGGCCTCGTTCCCATCGTCCTTGCTGTGACTGGCGTCGAGTCGCTCTTTCTTCCTGCGGGAAGCCCACTCTCCTTTTATACGACCCTCCTTTGGAAAGTACGCAGCAGCACACAAAATGTCTGACACCACGTTCTACGCAAACAGACGAGGGCTGCACCGCCGCCTAGCTGAGCGAGACATAGTAGGATCTGTCTTGTCGGTTGCGACTTCACAGCTCAGCTCTGCCGCCGAGTCTGCGACGGATCACAGTTCCTCCGGTAAGTGCAAATCAATCTCATGATTGCGGTGTGTGGAGGACATATGTGACTGCGCAATTGCCGTGGTCGTTCCGTGTAGCCGTGGTTGGCTGTCATGCATTTTGCGCAGTTTATTGCAGCAGAATTGGGAAGTTGTGGATTACCATCTTGTCTTGTTTGTGATGTCCACATGAAGCCTCCAGGGACTGGCTAGTCAACTATTGTTAACACATTTAATTCAGCTACGTCGACGACCGCATTATCTTCGTCAACGCACTCCACGAGTAGTAGTACGACTAGCAAAACCTCGTCCAGTGCCACGTCGCAAACGATTTCGTCCACTGCCAAATCTGACTCGACCAGCTCGTCACCGATTTCGACGCCGTCTTCAGCGGCTTCCTCCTCAGCTTCCTCCACGTCATCTAATGTTCAGTCATCGTCGTCAGCTTCTTCATCCAGTTCAACCTCTGCTTCTTCGACTACCTCTTCTGCCGTTGCAGCAAGCACGAACAATGCCTTGGAGAGCGTCTCTCAAACGGCATCTACCCTCCCTTCGACGACGATAGCAATGTCTACTGCTTATTTGACCTCGTCCGTGGGAGCGGGAGTCACGGGTATCGCATCAGCTAGTATCTCAAGCGCTGCCGCAAGTGCATCTGCCACTTCATCCTCCAGTGTGAGCGTTGGAGCAGTTGTCGGTGGTGTCATCGCCGCCCTTGTGGGAGTTGTTGGGATATTGTTTGCCGTCGTGTACTTCTGGGTATGCTGAGTCTCGTGTTTCAACGTGCGCATTACTGATGTATTTTCATCATTTTCACACAGCGCCGTTCTCATGGGCGCAAGGAAGAAGGGATTGAGGATTGGAACGCTGCAGCTTTCAGACGACAGTCGATCATCCTCCCCGATGAAGGGATGCCATCCCGCTCGGGATCACTTAACCGTGGACACAGCGACGATGGTCACAGCCCTACCACTCCCTCGATGATGGTGGAACAGACCGTCAATAGCGCCCCTCCGACCTTCGGTTACCAAGGGTACGGCACTCCAGACGCGTACCACAACCACTACTATCCGAGCCAGCCGTCCTATCCTCCCGGTCAATATGTGTCAGCTGCCCCTGGTCAGGAACAGCGAGCAATGGGCAACCCATTCATAGCACCCTATGGACAACTGCCAGCTGGACCGATTGGCGACGGCTCGCCGTACGATTACGCGTACAATGCCCAAAGCCAGATGCTCAGTCGCCAGCAGTCTAACGGACAATACCTTAACGGTCAGTATTCCGGCGCTCAGCTCTCCAACGGTCAGCATGTATCGCGTCAGCCGTCCGCCGGTCCCGTCCAGAACTTGTCGCTCCAGCCATCCAGCGGTCCAGTACAGAGTCTCGCCCGCCAAACTTCCCTCGGTAGCGATCAGAGCCTCGACGGCCAGCTCATTGAGGGTGCACAGAATCTGTATCGTCAACCTTCTGATCTTGCGGCGGAGCTCGTGGCTCGACGGCTGTCTGCTGGGGCTGCTCAACTCCTCGCTCGTCAGTCCAACAACGGCAACGGCGCTGTGGATGCTGCGGGCGATGCGCAATATGTTGATCTGAGCCGCTCCAGTGTGTCCCCTTTCCAGGCTGCTCAATATTCGGAGATCTCTCGTCAGTTGAACATCCCCTCTCCCGCCCCGGCGTACACTGCGACTCCCTCCAACGACAAGATCGTCATCCAAAACCTGCCGCTTAGCTTGCAGAGTGGAGCTGTCGCGCGTAATTCGGCACTGTCCGCTGCTTCAAATGACAAGCAACTGCCCTCTCAGCCGACTACGCCACGCGAGTCGCCATTTGCGGATACCGCGGCGGTACAGGATGTATACGTCCACTCCTCGTCAGCTCATGACGGCGACATGCTTGACCCTCCGGACAGCCCCCATAAGCGCGACTCGTTCGGGCCGTTGCCTCTTCCCGACTTCGAAGCGTACACTCGTGTGGCCTCCACGCCGCCGAGCCTTCCGGAGATCCAGGTACAGCAACGCGCATTCTCTCCCGTGGCTAATGTGTCGCCTGTGAAAGCCAGTTTTACAGTCCCAGCCCCGCCGAAACCCTCTCCCTTGGGCACGTTTTATGCCCTTCCCTCCCCGCCGCCCGAGGCACACGTCGTCCCTGTTGCAGCACCGACTGCATCTCCGGACAGTGCTGCTGATGTCTCCATGAATGCTCCGGCTGCCCCTGCCACCGTCGAGCAGAATGGAGTACAGCGTCCGGAGAACGTATATACCCACAGTAACAAAGATGCCTACACGGGCGTTTGAACGGCACTCATCGGTGTGTGTATGACCTTGCACAGAACGGGAAGTTCCTCCTCGCTTCGCTTTGAATCACTATGCTGTATTGTGTTTTGATACTTGCTTGTGACTGTTCTCCTGTAACGCGCTCTCAGTCGCGCCTTTGCTTACGGGGAGCAGAGCTAGCTTCTGTGCATACTCCCGCATGTCCCTACTTTTCGCTGGATTACACAAACTATCGTTGCCATTCTGGTGTTCTCAACCTGTTTGGACTGTTTATAAACCGCTCCATTCCACCCTCCCCCCATTTGCACGCCTACCTGAACGGTGGGTTTTTTTTGCCTGTTCGTATAATTATTGAAGTTCAATGCACAGGGCGGCTTCTTGACTACGTCGCGGTTTCAGGCTGGTTAACGAGGTCTCCAGTGCTCTTTTGATACTACTTTACTTACATTGGTTGTCTAGCTTATACCTGTTGAGGTCTAAGTGTTGTGCCTAGTAATAAAATTGTGCTGACCAGAGAAAGGCCCTTTGTGAGAGCGGTGGCATGAAATGCACTACACAGAGCTAAAGCCCTTCGTTCAAATAACGACTCTACGGGTATCATACAAGAATGTAAGTGTGCATTATAGTGCATATCACGTAGGATTACTTTTCGACCTAGATGCGTGAATGGGGATGGGTCTATGCGTGGTGTCGTAAACGAGAGTATTATACGGGTAAGGAGGACGCCAGTCGCGGACGGCCGCAACCCAAGAGAGACGACGGGCTCGATTATGACCACCTAAGCGCGGCTTCATAAATAGAATACATTACCGCAGCATTAGGGATGACGCGCATCAGGTGTGCGCTCAGCCCTCCATATAGCGAACGGACGCCCTCCTCCGCAATGACGAGTCGTAGCGTCTGGATGAGGCCGTGATATTTGACCTTACCATCAACAAGTGGTTGTCGAAGTCGTGTTCGTATGACCTGCACCGTCTTAAAATACATGAAATTCGAATGTGGTGTGCAAACCTACCTCATGCGGGTACGTAATCAGACTGGCGACACATTTCGCAGTTCCTGCACTGCCCAGCATGCCTAACCACTCCTGCACGCCCCCCTTGCCCTGCGTGCCGGCTGTGAGGAGCTTGAGCCGCTCATAGAGTGTCCACTGTATCGTGCCCTCAGTGACGCCTAGGTAGCTCGCGCTCAAGCCCTTGTAGAATCCACGGATGCCCTCTCCTCGGTAGATCTGCTTAATCGTCTCCCAGGATCCACCAACGATAGGTTGTCCAGATGACTGGCTGAGTTGTAAGCGCGTCTTGACTACCCATATCGGATTTGTCGCGGTGCTAGTCGCGATGCCCGCGACCGCGGCTGCGCTGAGGTGCACGTACGAGTTCTCCCGCCCGTGATTGAATTGAGTCGCGATGACGTGCTTGCCGTTGCCATATACGAAGAAATTGATAGAACGCGCTGGGATTACGCCCACTAGCGTAGGACCAAGACCTCTGAACAATGCTTGGAAAGACTCTTCTCTGTAGATATCTCTGTAGTTGATCATTAGCGGTTGGGTACGCGCGCAATTCGTACCCCCCAACTCACCGAATGATGTTACTAGTCTCCACAAAGTGCCAGAGGATGTTGGGTCGGTGAGGCGTGACAACAACACCATTGGCAGCCAGACCTAGAGACGATTGTTTCATTTTGAACATGTCGGACTGTAATCGCGTCTTGACTACATCAAATGGGCTCGTAACGATGGCCCCGCACATTCCGCCAAGGCTTGAAGTGTCCACGTCATGTGCCACAGATGGAAGCCACAGAACCATAAGTGCACTGAATATCCGTTCGAAAGCATAACATAGACCTACCCTCCGGCGACAAAATGCTGCCATGCTTTTGACGGGAGCAGGCCAGTGTTTGGCGGACTCGCCACTATGTCTGGTGGCGTGTCAGACATGGTCGTCGCCCTGAGGGGACTACGGACGGGAGAGATATGCAGGACAGAGCAGACGGAAGCAAAGGTGGAGAGTTAGGTGACCGTTCGGCACGAGCGGGCGCTCCAAATTTCTGCAAGCGGAATTCGCGACATCTAAGCGCCAGAGATTAGATTAGATTCTCGACGCCTTGACTAGGACTGTCTGTGAGCGTCTGTTCAACGCTCGCTTCCGCCCATCACTTGTCAATGCGCACCCGCTAGCATAATCTACTCGATTTCGTAGAATTTGAATGTATAGCCCGCTGTGGGTACTTGTGTGTTGTGCTCATACTGAACATGTTTGTACTCTCGATAATCAAGGTACCATACTGGACTCTGACTCTCTTCGTGCAACAGGACTCACCAGCTGTTCGCGTAGGATACCGTCGCGGTACACCCATCGCATTTCGCCGCGCCACCACAACAGGCCATAACGAATGAGCTCAACAAAAAGTACTCCAATCGCGTGCTGCACGATGTCGGGCTGTGCGTATGCGTGTTTGACCTCGCGGAAGTCGGCGAGGGGAAGGTGAGGTACGGAGATGGGTTCTTGTGGTATAAGGGTGCGTCCAATACATATCTGTTCGCAGCTGTTGACTTATAGCTGCTTTTTTTACGTAATACGTAGTGGTCTTCCGTCTAACCGTTTTTCGCCCGTTTCCATCCGAGGTCATCCTCGCGAAAGTCAAATCTTCAGACGAAGACGGCATCCGCTGTGAGCGTCATGAGGCCTTACAGAGAAATATGCCGCTGATGCCTTTGTGTCAGTGACTGTCGGGTTCTTCGATGACATGTATATTCCTTTAATATTCCTTCCCGAACCTTGTGCATTGTGAGTGGCACATTCTCCAGCTAACACAGCTCTCTAATCCCTTGTCGCCGGTGTGTTTCAGCGATCCAAATGAACGAGCACACTTCTGGCTTCCAGGTTCGGAAGCCAAGTCCACACATGAACTGCTCGACTCCCCCACGGCCGACCGCATGTACATCGATGCAGGCGAGGTAGTCCGCGTACGCGTCGAGTCCGACGAGTTCTACGATGACGAACCTGGGCCGCCGAAGGCGACGGAGGGCGTGCAGCAGGTGCCGGCTGAGCCTCGGAGACCGCCATATACCATCACTGTGCGTTGTGTATTGTGATGCATGTTGACGTTACATTGACGTCCATATAGTGCTCTATAGCAGAGCAGGGCTTGGGTCCGGTCTCCTGGTGGAAAAATGCGGGCATCGAAGCGATGGACGAGGGATGAAAAGCAGCAACTTCATGTGCTCAAGGCACGTTCTGGCGCAAATGACTCACACATCCGTATCCAACCCTTCTTCTTAAGTTCACCGCTCTTTGCCTCATCAACAGCGATGGCGTCGGAATGTATGCACCTGCACACTTTTCATGGGGATTCTGTTCTGCGTTTTTGACAGGAGAAGAGAAAATCGTCCATCGGTCGATAAAATAAGAGTGCAAATATATTGAGGCCTGCCCGAGACGGGCGAATCGGTATGTGAATAACTACGTAAGACAAACATTTTGTACATTGAGTGCTGAATGGAAGACGGGGGGCATGCATATTGAAAACTCCTTTCTGTAGTGGTGAGATGCGAGGGTACATATGTCCTTGCGAGGTGGACACAACGTCTATAGTGTCCTAATCTGGCTACGTCACTCGAACATAAACTGTAGCATTTCTTGTTCGTGCTCTGCCGTGATGAGGCCTCCAGGAAGGCACCTTGTGGGCGACGCACTGTGACTGTGTTCATATTGGAAGGGTACCGCGCTTCACCAATCGCTCCAGACCAGTCGAAATCCACTACTTTGAAGTCTGTACCGTCTGCATTCACTAGGATATTGGCATCCCGCAGATCACCGTGTACGAAATTGGCTTCCCACAATTTAGAAACAAATTTCTCCACATTCTCCCGGACGTGTTGCATTTGCTCATGAGAAAGGAGATAGCGCTGTCTAGACAAATTGCAGTACTCATGCAGAGGAACCGATTCCATCACCACCATGAACCATCGCCCTGGAATCCGCTCGCAGGCGAGCAGCTTTGGTGCACACAGGTGATCTGCACACCAGTCGTGGACAACCTTCGAATATCGGTGGGTGAATTTGATTACGATGGGCCGGCTGTCATGATCGGTAACACCGCGAAAGATTAATGTTCCGGTGTCCATTGGCTCAATGTACTTGAAGCCGACCTCGCGACCATTCGTGTCGTGGTATGCCATCGGATAGGGAAACAATAGCTGTGGCATCTTTGCGGGTGGACGAGCTTGAATGAGCGGCAAGTCAACTGCATAGTAGTGCTCCAATGCGATCACGGCATTCTTGTAGGCACGCAGCGCGTGTACGAGTATACAGAATGCGTCTTCGTCACAATGGTGGAAGTCCGTGCCGAGCAGTGGGGTGAGCACATCTTGACGTATCTTGCGTGAGAAAGCCGCACCAGAGAAACCAATGTGTGGTCCTTTGTATCATCAAGGTCATCAACAACTCATTAAATCGCAGTCTTTGAGATACTCACCGGCTGCGTAAAGTATGATGCATGGCAGCACTGTGCCCGCTCTACGGTCCTCAACAGTACGAATGAGATTGAGGTAGTAAGCGCCAGACTGGAGATATGGCTCGGCATGTCCACTAGCAAGTTCTATTTCAACGTTCTGCATAGTCGAGCAGAAGCCATTTACACAATGATGCCCATCTGTGGTCAAGGTCGTTCCGCTGAATGGTAGGTGTGATGCCTCCATCTGGATGCCGATGTATCTCGACATCTGGTCTCGGAGTGTGACCGCACGAGCAGATTGTGATGAGTAAAACTTGTTCATCGAACTCCGTAGTTGGTCTGCGAATATGTAATCGTCCTTTGTGAGTGGGCTCGGTTCACGGAATTCGTCATCAAAATGACCGAATACAAGAAGGAGCAAAGTGACCGGGATGCTGTCTGGAGAAGAAGGACGGTTGAAGTCGAACACGGTGCTCTGAGTCTCCCATGCCAGTGAGCATTGCCAGAAAGCGGGTGTGCCGATATACGATAGGGCTTCCAGTGGCGCCTGCTTCAAAATCTTGGCGCGTTGAAATTCATCAGAATTTGGATCATCAGGTCGCTTCCGCTTCGTGCCTGAGGGCACGAGTTGAGCAAATGGGTTGAAATAGTGATGAGCAAACTTACTCGCCATCTTACTTGTGGCCAGTGGCTCTGAGATCATATTCATCAGTTCGTGAGCATTTGAGCAGTAACAACAACTCACGGATTAAACGATCAATGAAGACAAGATGAATCAAGCTCTTGTCTAAAGGCTCCCCTTTCATAATCTGGTCCTTAACCAGTTCGTCTAGCTCGACGGGCTGCAAGGACGCCAAGCTTTCTTTGGAACGATCGTACAGGGTATCGCGAGGCTTCACCGCAAGATTGCAAGGCTGATCCTCGCATGAACAATGCAGTGATTGCGAGAGTGGGAAACAACGCACTGCATATACGTCAATAGCCGACGCCTGCAAAGAACCCTCTCTTCTTGTCATAAACCGCTGTTCTGACATCATGAAGGTTCTGCGTAAGGCGAACTTTCACTTTCGCAGATCTGGCAGATCGATTCAGGATGAAATAGTTCAAGGAGATAGTCGCTGGAGCCATTGGAGGATCGATATTTTGAAGTACTACACGGCAGAGGATAGATTGAAGCAGAAGAGAAGGATGCGTAAGCGAAGGAACCGGCTAAATCAGGGCTGCCTCATCAATGCCAGCCCTGAAGTCTGTATTCATTTCTCCTAGCATCACACAGCGCTAGCATCAATCTCGCTCATTCATCATCACCGTTGCGCGCGCGCTCGTTCAGAGAAACCGATAGATTACAAGATAATGGTGCTGATATGCCTTCATCCACGCCCTACATCGGGCACCGTCTACGCATTAATCATCCTGCTAGCATCGCTATGTATTGTACATCCGCGGGACAATTTCTTACGCCTCTCCGCGGCCGAGTTTGTCCAGAGCGCGCACGCCCTGCTCGAACCACTCCTCGCGCGTTATCCAGAATTCTTCGCGATTCTTCATGATATCTGCGAGAACCGCGCCGCCGAGAAAGACCATATGTTTCCGGCGCGGGGGGTCTTCGATGCGGATCTTGAATTTCTATGTGCGCAGGAAACGGTGAGCAGAAGGAAGACATGGTGAGGATGAGACGCACGTTCAACCGAGATGGATCCATGTTGAGTACCCGTGTGAGGTAGAGCTGCTTCATCTCCTTTTCGAGACGACTTGGCAACCCGGGGTACATGCTGGACCCGCCAGATAGTACGATGTGCTTGTAGAGCTCGGCGCGGACGTCAAGAGCTGCCGCCTGGATTGTTTCAAAGAGCATCTCTGTAGGGCTGTTAGGATGTGCTGAAGTGGTGGTGATCAGGAGGGACGGACCTGCCACGCCCGGTTGCTCAACGTCGACCAGCTGTGGTTGGAACATACATTCTGGTGCCTCGAACCGCTCTGAACCGATCTTGATCACTCGGCCGTCCGGAAGCTGAGTAGACGATGAGCGGTCAGTGTGAATATGTACATTTTTTGGACTGGCTCATACCGTATAGGTCTCTACAAGCACAGTCGTTTCTTCTGATAGCCGCGTGTCAAGGTCGAGGTCATAACTGATATTGCGATATGAGTGAATGCTAATCACAAGACAAATAGTCACTGACAGACCTGACGTAGCATAACTTCTCTTTGATCTCCCGCACAGTCTCAAAATCAGCTGTCCGGTTGAAGGCGTATCCGCGCATGAGCAGCAGCTTGATCAGATAGCGTGTCACGTCTCGTCCAGCAATATCCAGTCGGTGAGTCAGATGTGGCATTGCGAAACCATCATAGACCGGGACAATGTGTGTAACACCGTCTCCAGAGTCCACCACGACACCCGTTGTGAGACCTGCGCTCGAGCATGTTACACGCGCATCGACCCGCGCAGCAACACAGGTACGCACCCTGCGCATATAGCGTCAGCACCGCCTGAATCGCGACGTACACGCCCTGGAAGCCGTAATCCTCGAACATGACCTGGCACATGCGCTGCCGGTTCGCCTTGGGGTTCATCGGGGGCTCGGTGAGGAGCACCTTGCGGCCTTGTGTGTTGACGCGCAACTTCTCGTCAAAAGTGTAGTCCCAGAGGAGCTTCATGTCCTCCCAGTTGCGCACGATGCCGTGCTCCATGGGCTGTGTGACCTGCAGGTAGTTGCGGTTCGCTGCAGCTTCGTCACCGATCATAATGTCCTTGATCACTGCTGTCCCAACTCGCTCCTCGGCTCGCAGAATTGGACGGCCGACGATGGATGGGAATACTGTGCGAAGTGAGTCAGTGCGCACCAAGTGAAGGAATATGAGTGTACTCACCATGTTCGGGAAAGTTGGACCCTGCATAACCCACCTTGACGAACTACAGTACTAGTTAGCTAGTAATCCCATGAGCTGGACACGACCCGACTTACACCGGTACCATTGTCGACTACAATCGGCACCGACGGATCTGTCGCCATCGTTCAGAGTAATGTCTAGCCTATGATGTACAGTGAGCAAAGCGTTATGCAAGACCGGTCGTGGTGACGGTAAGTGTGAATGTGGCGAGCTGCTGCAAGTCACGAGCCTCGTTTGACGACGCGTCTTAGCGCCCAACGCGTCCGTGGAGTCCTTAGCTTGCTCCCATCTCCTGCCGCTGTCCTGTTCTCAAATTTGGGACTTCTTCTGGCTGTACTTCCGTCTTGAGACTGGTTGTCAAAAATTCTCTGGTTGTGGAGTCGAGTTGCTGTTAACCCATCATGGCGCGTGGTGCAAACTCTCCTCCGCCTAACATCCTGCCCAAAGTCTCCTTCGTGAAGGTACAAGACGACTTCTCAAATCATCCAACGGGCGTGCATGATCATATTTCTCGATCTTATGGATGTAAGCTGCTATCATGGTATTCACGACAGACCATTGAGGCTTAGCAGATAATGACTTCTCCGACTTCAAGAGGCCCGATTACTACATCCGGTATATCGGTGCGTTGCTGCCTTAGTTTCTCAAATCGTCCTTCCGAACATGTCACAGAGCCTCTGGAGAGTGAACTGGCTGAGCAAGTCGAGTATGACATGGACGAGCAAGGTGCGCTTCAGGAGATGGTCCGCCCGATCAGGCTGAGTAATCGTTGAGGCCAATAGACTTTGAATGGCTCGAGGCAGTGAATACGGAGCGCAAAAAACTTCAGCAGGACACTGCGTCTTGCGAGGTGTTCGAAATTGTCATGGATCGGCTGGAGAAGGAATGGTTCGACTTGGTAAGTGAATGCCTTCGCTTGATGGGCGTGATCTTCAATGCCACAAAGTACTCTACAGACCAAGAACATCCCGAAACCTGATCTGGCGCTCCCATCGGAAGATTCGACCTGTGCTATTTGTGATGACTCCGAAGGAGAGAATACGAATGCCATCGTCTTCTGTGACGGGTGCAACTTGGCAGTTCATCAAGGTATGAGTTCGCCTTTCTGTTAGCTTGATGTAAATATCTTGATGTTACTCCAGATTGCTATGGTGTACCGTATATCCCTGAGGGGCAATGGCTTTGTCGGAAGTGTACCGTCTCCCCGGAAAATCCAGTCGTAAGTTCAAGTTTTGCATTGCTTCATAGTCGATCATTTTTACAGTTTTGCCTAGACCTGTGTATTGTGTCCCAACGAAGGTGGTGCATTCAAGCAGACTGTCCACGGAGACTGGGTGCATCTCCTCTGCGCAATCTGGGTTCCTGAGACTCGGGTTGCAAATGAGGTGTTCATGGAACCGATCACAGGTATTGAAAAGATATCAAAGCAGAGGTGGCGACTGGTAGGTTGTTGACTACAGTAGCCGGATGCGACGTTTACCTCGCGCAGAGATGTTCGGTCTGCGACATCAGAGAAGGCGCATGTATTCAATGCACGAAGCCGTCTTGCTTTCAAGCTTTCCACGCAACATGTGCAAGGAAAGAGAAGCTCTTGATGCCGATGAAATCCTCTCAAGGCTCGGAGGCTCCGTCGCTTGCTTGTTATTGCGAGAAGCATTTACCCGTACGTTCTGCTGTCCTCCGGTGTTGAAACCTTATTCTGAGTGGATTTCCAGAGAGAGCAGCAGGAAGGTCGTGTAGTAGCTCTTGCCGCTGAACGCGCTGAGGCGGATAAGACTGATGACACAAGTCCCAGTCTGAAGTCGTCCAAGACAGCCCGTGCGTACGCTAAGACATACAAGCCCGGTCCACCACTTGTTCCGCATATCATTGTGGAACATGTTCTGCAGTATATCGGGAAGGTGAACCTGCGAGCGAAGCGGGACTTTGCGCTTTTAGTGTGCAAATACTGGAGTCTGAAGCGGGAGGCTCGCAGGGGCGCTGCTTTCCTGAAGAGATTGCATTTGGAGCCCTGGACCGCGTCGTCGGGAGGTCGACAGCAGACTGACGAGGAGAAGGCGATCAAGCTTGAGGTAGGCTCTGTTGTGCATGGTGCAGCGAGCGATCATTGGTTGATCCCGAATATGTAGTTCATGAGACGCCTGAGAGTCGACCTCGATCAAGTCCGGATGATAGCGGAACTCTGTCGGAAGCGCGAGAGCCACAAGCTGGATATCGCAGAGATCATTCAGCATGTATTCGACAGGTTCCTATTCGCGCACGAGCCTCCGCTTCGAATGGCGTTCGAAAAGATCATGGGGTTTGTATTACTTTTATGTCTGCAGATATCTGGATATTGACAGCGGCTATATTTAGCGCCGACCGTCAGGAATTTTTCAAGAATCCCGTGTCTAAGGTGGACGTTCCCGACTATTATGATATCATCAAGAGACCCATGACATGGAGCATCATTGGAGACAAGCTGGATAGGCATGAATATCTCGATTTGCAGGAGTTCAAGGTACGTGGAATGGCGGCGATGGCAATTTTCTGGGCGTCTTATGCGACGGAATCTCCGTGCTAGAATGATATTAATCTTATCGTGACCAATGCAATGACCTACAACCAACCTGGAACATCATTTTACAAGACTGCTCAGAAGATTCAAACTGTCGCAGAACCCATATTGGCTGACTTAGACAAGATCTCGTCACTTCGCCCTACGCCGGAACAGTTGCCCTCGGAGCTTCAAGAACAGCCCCCACAACAGCTGCAAAAGCAATTGCCGGAGCACCTGCGAGAACATTCACAAGAGCACCTGCAAGAACAGAATGATGAACACCCCGAGAAGCGACCACAGGGTCCGGAACTGGATTGCATCGAAGAAGGCGTCCCTGCTCCAACAGGCGACTTGGAACCACCTATAGAGCTGCTCGATATGCTAGTCTCAGAAGCTTCAATTACAGACGACATTGAGTTGATTCTGGACAAGGAGCCGCTAGCCGCTCTCCTTACCTACGAGCTGCCAAGAATGAAGCCACCCCCACCGCTCCCACCACCGAAGCCCAAGCGCGATCGCAAGGCGGACCTTGCGCGCAAGCGCCAGGAGCGGCTCGATTCTGCGCCTGGCTTCCGGGCACCGAGGACCCGACGTGCGTCTGCCACGAACGCGCAGTTCGAGGGGGAGACGGAGACGGAGGTTCACGTTCCCACACAGCCCGAGGCGGGCCCGTCGAGCGAGGCGGCTGCGTCGGAGCTGTCGTCGAGGGAGAAGTCGAGCAGGAAGCCAGGGCGGCGTGGCCCACTACATGTCCCTGGCAACCAGCCTGCGCCAGTCATGGAATCGGTGGACGACCGAGACTCGTTCAGCCTGTTTGATAAGGGCTGGATCCTGCCGGATGACCAGCGACGGGGGAATAGGCAAAGGCAGCAGCGCTCGCCGCTTCCGCCGAAGAAGAAGTCAAAGAAAGGTTCGTCTGCGATAATCATGTGCTTATTGCATCGTCCTTATTCAGTGGTTGCCGTGCAGCCTCCACGCGGGAGAAGTCTCTGCTGGCTACGTTCAACACCGCGGAGGCCGAGAACGAGACGCTGCAAGCTACCCCGCTGACTGATTTCACTACTTTGCCGGAAGGGCATCTACTTCACACTGAGCATGACGCAGCACCGGAAAGTACGGGACACGTCCCAGCGGAGACGGTTGAAGAAACACAGGTTGAGCCAGTCGAGCAAGCGCAAGGCGAACTTGTAGCGAAAGCTCCGGTCCAATCTGTTGAGAATGCTCCAGCTGAACCTATCGAAGAGAGGCCAGATGAAGCCGATGCGGGCGTGCATGCTGAAGCTGCTGTGGAAGTCCCAGCTGAACCTATCGCGGAACTGCCGGTTGAATATCCTGCGGAACTGCCAGCTAAACCCGTTGTAGAACTCCCATCTGAACCTGTTCAGGGAACGCTGGCTGAACAGGTCAAAGCACCCGCCACTGAAGGACCAGCGATGTCACCGCTTTCAGATACTCAGGCTTTTGCAAAGCCTGCCACTTGGCCTGTTGATGAGCCTTCGCTGGTCGACGAGAGGTCTGCCGTAGAAGTGGGTGAAGAATCCACGGAGGAGGTAGCCAAGGAATATATGAGTCGACCTGTGGAGGAACTACCGAGGCTGCCTGCGGAAAATCCCGCAGAAGTGCCCATGGGAGAATCTGGTATACCTGCGGTGGAACCCGCGAAGGCGCCCATGGACGTTCCCACCGCAAATGACGCTGTCAAGCAGAGGAAGGGCAAGAGCAAGAGGCGTGATGAAGCGCCTGTTCGCATCATCATCATAGAAGAACTCGATACCCCCGCTATTCGTAGACAGAAATACAAGAAGAGGAAGGCGGAGAGGGAGAGACTCGCTGCCGAGGCCGCAGCGGCAGCAGCACTCGACGCTCAGCGAACCACACAGATTTCCCAAACTTCGGAGGAGACCGTTGGTGACGTAGAGATGGCGAACGCTGACGGAGGTGCATCAGAACTCTCTTCTCTCAGCGATCTCAGTGACGCAGAAGGTAGAAAGTCGCCCGTGAGAGTAAAGGAGTCCATCGTACAAACACCGACCTCGGGTCCAAGGCAACAAATTGATGAATCGAATCCTTTGACTCCTGTCATAGCGAAGGCGAGCACCGCTCTCGGTGCCATATCGCTGCCGGAGGGCCACTATCTCGAAGGAGGCACGCTTGGTGAGTAGTTTGGCCGGAGCTTCCTTTAAATTGACTCTAATCTGTCGTTGAAATATGTAGTGTGGGCCAAAGCAAGTGAGAATACGATCAATTCCGCATGTGATTCGTGTACTGACCTCTGCACCAGGAACCTTCCCATGGTGGCCCGCTGTTGTTTTTGAGCCGGATGACATCACAATCCCAGACTACGTATCGCGTACTCCTCCTCAGCTCAAAGAGCACGAGAAAGGCCCAGTTAATCTTGTGCAATTTTATGATTCAAGGAAGACATGGTACGTTGATTGCGGTCGTTCGCATTGCATTGTTTGTGATGAGGTCAATTTCAGGCAATGGGTCACACTGGAGAAGCTCAAACTACTCGGCGAAGACAGTAGTAAGTGGCCTTTACTGTAACCATCCGCTTTGGTCTCACGGTTCGTAGGTCTTGACCAGGAGATGCTGGCGAACAAGTCTAGATTCCAGAACTGGAAGACGCCAAAGCACAAGCAGATGTGTAGGGACGCATACAGGTGCGTCCGTCTTCGAGGTTTTGGTCCCATTCGGCTCGTACTGAGTTGATCCGATGCATGTAGGAGCGCGATGGCCGAACGGGAAACAGATGGTGAAAATGTTCCTGGACCGAGCGCTTCTCAGAATGCTATGGAGGTTGACTCCTCAGCAAATCAGCTCATCCACGAAAAGCCTTTGGGTGAAGACCATGCTTCAATTATCTTGGGTCCTGATAGTCCGATGACAGAGCTTGATGTGTGATGATAGAACAGAATCATTCGCTTGCTTTTCAGAACTTCGTACTTATTCCAGCGAATTATATCCCTTCTTCCATCTCGTTTCTTCCATGTGTTTACTTGTACTGATCAGTTGTAGCCGTAGCAATGCATATGATTTGATTGTTTGCGTAGTTTGCCTTGCGAAGAAGCAGCGGCTATCCAAGGTCGGCATTTCCATCAGCCTTGAATGGGTCAAGCAGATATTGATCATGATCTTCGCATTCAGATATCTTGCTACGAAGAATGACGCTGGATATCATGTCCGTTTAAGGAATAGCATTTTATCCAGTACATCCGCCCATGGCGTCCTCATTGCAAGTTCATCCGATTAAACTCCATACATCAGACGTTCTAGTGGACTTCATGGATATCCCAACACTTATGGCATACACATAAAGGACATCAGATCCGTGAATGATCGCATTTCCTGGAGCTTTGCTGAACTTGCCATACTGCTGCGCTTTAACGTCTCTCACAGAAGTTGAATCCATCATTAGCACATCGCCCTCTTTGTTAAAATGCTGCAATATCTGGTATGGTAGAGAACACATCTATCTCGATTTTGTGCTGATTTATTTCAGATTGTCTTCAGCGTCTTCAGAAAACTCGAACAATACCCGATTCCATACACAGAAATCAATGTACATCTTGTGGCACCTACACAAGTGTACGAGTGTTGCGTTCTCGTACACATGCATGGCCTTACATCACATCAGATCATAGAGCATGAAGAGGGAATAGTCCTTTTCGTCAAAAGATCTCGGCCCAAATCTTCTGGCGGTAACCATTGCCTCATACTGTGCCGCCTCTGCATTCACTGGTCGCATGGATGCAGGACCATCCAATTTTCCTTGTGCATTCGATACGTTTGCATAATCTACGGGCATAACGGACCGTCAAAGGCCAAACCTGAACGTCCTATTCATTGGCGACTTTCGCATGGTCCCAATAGCACGAGCCATAGAATCCCCTTGGACATCACAGACCGGTCGCCAGCGTTCCCCCCGGAGATACTGGATATCGTACTCGATGATCTGCGCGATGATCCAGCTAGTTTGCGTAATTGTGCGTTGGCCTCTCGCAATTTCCATCGTGGCAGCCGTCGGCATATCCTACGGAATGTCTACATCCGCAACCCTTCGGCGTTTCACCTGTTGGCGGAGAAGTTCAAGCAGCACGGCCTATCAACGGCCCCGATGGCGGATTACATCCAAGGATTGAACGTATATGCTGCGGACCCACCATATGCGCACGTCATACCTCATCTTTTAGGAGGCGCCTTCCCCAACCTAACGTCCATTGCATTCCACAACGTCCGGTGGAGCGGCCAACACGCGGGTATATACCACTCCTTCGTATCGCTCATGCCTCGCTTCAAGACCGTCACCACGTTGCGGCTCTCGTCATGCAAATTCAACAATATGAGCGATCTGTTTCGGCTGCTACGTTCACTTCCTCGTCTGAAATTCCTGGCTTTGTGCGCCGTGAGCTGGCATAATAGCGCATCGCAGTGTATCCAGACGTGGCATGATGGGCCGAAACTCCAGTCTCTCATAATGTGGGATATGTCCATCAACGACGTTCAACGGATATGCGAATGGCTGGCACAGTCATCCGGCAGGCAGCACATATGCTCTCTTATCCTCGGTAGGCTGGATCACAAGGGTTGGCAAAACAACTTTGGTCGTCTGTTGGAGAGTATCGGACCATCGCTCCAAAATCTAAGTCTGCCTCTCGTACTCAGGAGTGGGTACTACACCCTCATTTCGTCCAATCTTGCTCACGGGCAATTGGTACAGACGATGGTTGTAGCTGGACGAACAATCCGAACTTACGTTCACTAGTCATTTATTGTTGCCGCGTCCACGACTGGAGCGCGGCCTGCGACGACACGGGTTGGCTAATTGGTCAAATTGTCAACGGACGGGTTTGTGAAGTTGCGTTCGAGTTTTTGGTCTCTCCTGAGCAGGTCGCGGCGGACATGGTGGACATTCGCGCCATCAATGGCGTTGGTGCATGCTCAGGTGGAAGGACGGACCATTGCCCTCTCCAGCAATCAAACCATATAGATGAAAGAGAACTGCCATTCGCCACCACGTTGAGAATTGTTGGTGATGCTAATGTTGGTGGTGCTAATGCTGGCGATGACGCCATGCGGTTCTTCCGTATAATCGAGGAAGAATTGCAGCGTCAAGGCTGGCGGGCCCGCGGCTTGATCAGAACCTCAACTTGTCCCCGTCAGATATCCTTTTGTCTCAGATTCACCAAAACTTAGGTGCGCTTCTTTGACCATGCTTTCTACGAACCAATTCTGATACTGCTCCAGGCCTTTTACGTTCAGATTGATTGAAGAGCTATCCAAGCAAAATGCCCCCGTTTCATTAGCGTGGTGCCGGTTCGGAACGTTCGTCAGACAGTATACCATCGAACGGAACACTCGCGTTGAATATGATAATTATTGCGCTCGCTTCTCGATATCCTCCGTTTTGAGACTTGTGGACCGGCAGTACGGAGTATCAGAAAGGGTGATGTACAGCATCTTTAAAGACACAGTGCGATTTCAATTGTTGTTACATGCGACACATTCAGCGATGCGAAAGTATCACAGCAAGCATATCAAGATTTTTTCACTGGTGGTGATGTGCACCGATAGTGGGGGCGGATCTCAGAGGAAAGCAAACCTTGACATACCAACAGGAGACAATTCGCGCAGCGGACGCCTGTAAAACGCCGTGTATTCCGTGAAGAAGCTGGACCGGCCACTAGGGTCGCGGCAATTAGCCATGACGGGATGGGGACCCGAGTGCTGCTCCACGCCTGCGGAGCCGTTCTGGAGAGTGTGCTGAGCTCCTCAGCAATATATAAGGGCCTCGTTCAATGGCATGTCTCCCCAGTCCTTGAGACAGATCAACTACATCACTACATCCTCCTACCGCCTCTACTCACACAATGTCTGTGAGTAACCTGTTCACTAGCTAAACTCTGCATACGAATCCATACTCACTTCATCTGTTACTCAGGACACCGTGAAGTGCGCTAACGTCGAAGCCAACGGCGGCACCTGCTCCTGGCCGACATGCGGCTGCGCTGAGCCCCCCAAGAGCAAGTGATTGTCAGGAAGCCTAGTACCGCTGCTGAGGTATGTATAGACGAGCTGAGGCTCTGGATGAATGGCTAATATACACCTTAGCCTTTGACAGGCAAGCAGCGAGAGGAGAGTGATTTGCGGGTGTATTCAGCTTTGCTTGCCCTTGTAACGATATGTCTGGCGTCTGTGGATAACCTAATGGATCGAGAACCATATTGCACGGCTACTATGACTGGCGATCACTTGAGCTTGGGAGGATTCTGATTGCCAGCTCTGTCAAAAATTGGAGAGTTGCGCTGAGTTGTCGAGAACCTGGCCAGGGTACAGTTGACTGAACAGGTCGGACATGAGAGAGCCGGCTGCGAAGTATTGCTTTTTTTTTTTTTTTATATACAATTTATATCCCGCCCCGAAGGGGCGGTCGGAGGTGTGTAAATACATGTCTTGGAACAACGGAGGACCAGACGCATCTGGGGGCGAAGAAGCTTAACGTACGGACACCAGGTCCCCACGGACGCAACAGAGCAGGCGTATAGTAGAAGGGCACGAAGCCCGGTAAGCTGTGTCATGGACCATGCAAGCGCCGATAACCTAACAAATTGCATATGCCTAACCAAACTCGAAAACCGCGCCGCGGTCAGTCCGTTGACTCGTTAGAAACACTGTTTAAGGGGAATCGAACCCCCAAGATACTCCCACCAAACAGTCCTCGTTCACCGCAGAGGCAAAGTGGCGTGCGGGGCATGGTGACCAGTTTGAACATTGAGCTCGTCTAAAGGGCCCCTTGCGGAAATAATGCCCTGCCGGTAGGCGCACGTCGCAATCGCATCAAGGGCACGAGGTTTTATCCCCGTGTTACATCCCAGGCTGCACGCGTGCCACCTCTGGACATCCCAGTGCAAGCACCGGTGCTCATGACAAGCTTTCAGCCAAAGGTTGTTTGCCATACCGTGACGCGGTATCAACTTATGCAGGTACACCTCGTCTTTCACGAGGACCCACCGACGGAGGATTTAGACCTCTCGAGCCAGGGCAGAGGTTCTCCCCCTGCCCTGCTACGGCTCGGCGATAGCCCCAGGGCGCCACCCCCAGGATCGCTTTCCCGTGCCAGCTGCGAAGTATTGCGATCCAACGAAAAGACCGCACACCTTCAACCCCGCCCGGACTTATCCGGATGGGCAGGTCTTAGCGCTCGCAAGACGCAGCTCAGAATCCCTCAGATAGATCCCTTGATCTTCAACTCGTGTCACTTCCGTGTTAGGCTGCTGCCAGCTGTGGCCGTTGGCATTTCAATGAATATGGCATATTATAATGAGTTCATCTCGCCGCAATCTTCATGCATTCTGGCCTTACGATAGTCATCAAACAGTGTCGTTTTCGACTCGATCATGGATGTGCAGTACTTTGTCTAGAGTAGTATGGAACGACTAGCATGCATAGGCATCAGAACTGAATGTACCGATCGCTTCAGATGTGTCTGAGACACACCTGCAGCCATCAGTACATGCTGCTCTTACTGACTGGTCAGCATGTCTTCTCTCTGGACTTGCATCCCGGCGGCAGCTCGGGTCCTTCTGCCGCTACTTAATGGTTATTTTCGCCGAGAGAAAGCTCGGTGCGTACTAGCAGACCGGGGATACAACTGTACCAGCGGGAGAGCATATCTATCGTGTGTTGAACGTCGTCCTGCTGTACCGTTACGGATTAGATATGGAGCAATAACTCGACGAAACAATGTTGGTGACGGCATGCAGTTCCGAACAGGCTGTCCCGCCCCGCAAACATAAATGCGCGCAATCGGTTTGAGTGCACTTATTTCCCCATTCTGAGTTCTCGCCTCGGAGAGGGAGCGCTATAACAAAGAAAGTCTTACAAGCCGCAGATTGTGTGCGTTCGACGATATACCAGCGTGAAAGCTAGAAATGGCAGTAATAGTAGTATTAAGATCTCGGCATCATACATCTGGTTATGCCTTGACTTTGCAAGCACCCTCAAGTAGTTGACTGCTATGCGTGAGCGCACCAGGATATATCGTACACAAAACAGCACGAGTGGCATGTTCGCTTGCCCTCGCCTGCAGACCTTCTGTCCCCTCACTTCAATGAGCTTCGTTCATAATGCTCCGACGAAGTGCGACTCCTCGGAGAGAGCCTTGCTCTGCGTTTTGGCACTCAATGGACAGGGAATATCGCCCTGCAGCTGCTCAGGTTGTGAGAGATAGCCTCAGTGAAAAGTAGCAGAGAACGTTACCTATGTATCTTATGAGCTGCTTGATACGAAAAGGCAGTGACAGACGGCGTCCTCACTATTTGAGCAGACAAAGCATGTTCACCCCTCAGTAGGCAAGTTGTCTCGTTGCGGTCGAGCTGCAGCCGACGCTTCGCCGGCACTCTTACACCTCGACGAAGAATCAGAACGCTTCCAGGCCGCTTCTGCCCGCTGTTGCATTGTATAAATAACACGCGCGAAGGACTGCTCTTGCTCGCATCGACAACGTCCTGGACCGCGACGCGCCACACCACCTTTAATCAACATCTCCAGGGCGAACAACCCGACGTCATGAGGCACCTTTCCCTCACATGCGAGCCTCCAAGTGAGCTGCTGCTGCTCCATGTAGCGGCGCATGCTTGGCAGCCAATCCGGGTTTAGACCTTTCATTGGCTCAATCACCATCGCGCGGTGCTGGCAACGTGGGCGTGGGAGGGATGGAGAGAAGTAGGTCACGTCGGGAGGGAGGGGGACGGCAGGGGCATCACGCGATCGTCCTTTGCCACCGCGAGAAATGGAGGACAACCTCGTCACTTGCTTCTCGGGAAGAGGAAAGAACGGCGCGGACCGCATCGTTTTGTTCTCCTTCGCATCCTGCGGCTTGGATGGCTAAGTGGTGACATCGCACCGGTCAGGATCCTAAGGAGATTGTACGCAATTAACTATCATATACCTTGTTGAAGTACATGGACTTTGTCCTCTGTAAGGTACGGCGCTGTGGGGTATTCCTCGCGGATCCCATGAGATTGGTAGCATTGACGAGCGTTGAAACAGAGCTCATGGTATAGTACTCAGTGGCCTAATCGAATGGCACGAAGGTAGCAATGTGGTGGTCAGAAGTGTGGCTTTTGAACATCATGTGTTCGCTGATCGCCGTTCCGCAGCCACTCCGATTTGAGAGTCCGCGAAGTACCGTGTGGCGAAAGTGGCTAGACGACGAACGCTAGCGGCAGATCGACGAAGACATTACAATCGGGATGTGCAGATGGCAGATGTTTAGAACATGGACATCTGGACGGTATAATGAGCGGTGCTGCAAATTGTGCTTCATGCTTCGTTCTATGAATGTGCAGCCGGTCTTGGACGCGCCACGATGGATTATCGATCGCAACATAACGCGACACGTCTGTGGCGCGACGAACGCGCTCACATGATGAAACCGGCAAATTCCTGTCACTGTGCGGTTGTACCAAGTTCGTCCGGGATGATTGATATCCATGAGTTTGCATCGCATTTGTTCTTATACATCTACAACATCAAGTGAAAGTCTCTGTTCTCATCAGTCACAAGATTGCCGGTGGGTATGTCCATTGGCTTGCTGAGGCCAGACATGAAATCTGTAAATTTATGCTGACAGTTTTTTCCCCTCAATCAGTGTACTTGTTGACTTCTACAAGCCAAAACCATACAGAAAAAGTCAAAAAGGAGGCCTTGAGCCACGAATCGGTGCGAGGTTTCCTGATGTCATACAAAAGATTGACTGCATGCGTTACTAAATGACACTGCCTCGTGCGATTATCCATAAAGTAGCTGATCAACAAGTTAGAAACAGCAAGATACGTCTACGTGCTGTCCAACGAATCAAGGAACGCGTCGATAGCCCGCCTCGACGGATGATGCTTCGACCGCGGCTGTCCCACCATCCTGTGCTTCAGCTTCAACACATTCGCACGCTTGCGGGCGCCGTCTTCTCCGAACGCCCTCGTCAGGACGTCCTGTGCTTCGGTACGAACAGCCTCGACGCTTCCCTCGGGCGCCTTGCCCAGACGATGCACGAGCCCCAGGCCTGGTCCGTTGCGTATTTGGAAAAGCTCGTAGCCAATGTCGAGATTGACGGTAATGTGGGCAGCGTTCAGAGGCTGGTCGAATGCGAATGGCCAACATATCCTGCAATCGGATAAATACAGCGACGTAATTTCAAAAAGCGGTGCGGAGGAGATGCAATCAGCCCGGTGAACATATAGAGAATGGGCCGATGAACATACATTGGTATGCCTTCACTGATCGACTCAATCACGCTACTCTGTCCGCCGTGTGTAATGAACCAGGCCATTGCCTGGAAATTAAATTCGCCATTAGCATGAGAAGGTCCACATCATTCCGAAGCACTCACTGGGTGACGTAAGATAAGCTGTTGAGGCGACCAGCGGGTCAATATGGCATCTTCATACCCCTCGACCTTCTGTGCAATGCTGTCAGAGATAGACAAATAGGCTGATGCATGGTTCAAGATCTATGCATGGGCAGACATTGAGGAATGTTGACGATGGTTGATGCGTAGAAAAGTGAATATTCGTACGAATGGTATTCCAAGTTCGATCATCACGTCCAAGAATGCAGACAGTTGATCGTCCTCCTGCGGCCAATACATAGACCCAAAGGATATCTGAATGTTAAATATGAGGTAAGAATTGAGATGAGAGATATAGCGGGAGAGACGTACAAAAACGAGCGTACGCTCGCCACGCTTCTTCAATATCCCATTCATGAATTCCTGTATATGGACTGACCGCTCCTTCTGCTGTGAGGTTGCCTGTTCTCCGTAGGGAACCAGCGGCCCGCATGGAAAGACCTTGCGAGAGGATTCTGCGAACCAATTCTTTAAGGCTGCGACCGTCTCCGGCTCATAACATTCCGGGGTAGCGAGCAACATTCCGTCGCACTCATTGTATACGCTGAACGTATCGTCAGTAAAAGCGAGCACCAGGGTGGTGTGGTGCATTGCTCACTCGTGCGCACCCAGCATCACTCCTCCTAATTGACCTTTGGATCCCAGAGCCTGTTAGGACTCCGTTAGTTCACGTAGTACTGTGTGTGTCACTTTGGAGAGGACCTACACGTTGTGGCTGGACTTCATGGTCGTACATAGGCGGCAACCCTGGTATGTACACGACGCAGCCGGTGTGACCCAGCAAAATCTGACAAATCGTCAGCGCTACGGTTGAGGAAGTCATGATTATGCAATCATACCTCACCAGCAGCCTCTTCCACTTTGATGCCCGAGCACTCTGCTTCGTACTCACTCCTTTCACGTAGATCGCCGATCCATCCCACTTGCTTGGGGCCCCAGAAGCGGAACACAAGAGACGCAGAGCCGGCATGCCAAGCGAAGACTTTGAAATCCTTCTTGCCGACTCTACGTGCATGTTCCATAGCGGTACGGCCATCGAACTGAAGAACATCATGCTGTAGATTATGACACGCTTAGATGCGGCGAATAACTTACATCTACCACGAGAGCATCAGGCGCACGGACTGGGTCATAGCTCACGCCAGTATGGACGCACTGGACAGCCTCCTCCTTCGCAAGCTTCTCGAAGGCAGTTGCGAAGGAGTCCTCAAGTATGCTTCTATCTTGTGCGTTCGCGCTGTTGTGTGTAAGAGAAATGACCCTAGCGATCCCACGGTAGTTAAATAACATGCAGCGGTCCATTCAAAGAACACCCGAACCTGACTCGGTCAAGAAGGTGCCCCTCGTCCGCGTCAAAGGATCTGAAAAGCTCGTCGCGCACACGGTCATGGATTGTCGTAATTGTGAATAACGTCACATATATTGGTCGCGACTGCGCGAGACGGGCTGCGAGGTTGCACAACGGTCGTGTATGTCCTGAATGCCAAACGCTATTGTGAGGTGTTCGCGGAGAGCAGGAGAGTATACCTACCCCACGCTTCGTATCCGAAGAGAACGACATGATACTGCTTGGCATGTAGGCTCCAAGATATCCCCATCGCAGAGGTGTGCTTGTGAGGACAGGCGATGTCGTTACAAAAACCCTGACGAAGAACTTATTATATGCGGTGCTTAAGGCAACGACACATGGCCAGAGTGCTACCCACAAATTGATATTGCCCTGAGATTCAGTCGCAGCACAACGTAGGCAGTGCTCATGCGTTCCACCTTCCTGCATCGAAGTCACCTCGTCAAAGTGGTCTGACCTTCATGACATTTAGCAAAGCCAATCGGGGAGCCCTAGGGCAGAATTTGCACCATACAATTTATGAAGCTCCCAGAGATAGGAGAGGCGACCCACTGTGCACCTGCGGCTAGTTCCATGATTGTCACACAAAGAGCGGACGGTGCCGGCAAGCGGAAGATCACAACAGAGGGCCTGGGTATGTGCAATCGTCTGATATGCACGAGAAGCATGTTTTTCTCAGAGATACGACTCGGTCATTCGTGATGAACTGAAGCATCGGGTAAGTTTCTTGTTTTCACGATCGACTACATCAGTTCAAGTCAGAATTATAAGCTGATTAGCAAGCAGCAGCCTCTGCTCACCAGCTTAGAGTATATCATGTAGCTGGCCATTATCCTGAGATTGTGGCAACAGCATGTAACCAACAATACCAATACCCGCAGTTTTCTCATGGTCAGTGCTTCTGTCTCCACCTTGCGAGGTTCATCTCAACGGCATCTTCTCCAGATCAAAGCCTAGTGCGGTGCTAGGTGCTCGCCAGAGCTTCTGTCCATGCGCAACTGTGCCTCACTGTTGAGATGGCCGAACCTCAAAGCCGAGGCTCGGGGACAAGCCGAAGCACCGGGGCCCTCACGTGCGGCTGAAGATTATATAATATTTCTAATGCGTACACGTATATATACGGGAATGCCATATCGGGAAGATCCGCATCTTCCCGCATCATCCTTCACTCCGAACCCTCACCCGCATTCCGTCCCTTAATCTGCGGCTCAATACTCACAAAGACCGCTGCTTCAAAGACCAAGGGATTGAAGTCGCATCAGCAAGCTTGCAGTGCGCACTGTCACGGCAGGATCCCCGCTAATCCCCCAAGAGCCTAGATCCCCGAGACCCCCCGAGGACATCAGGAAAATGTCACTTTTTCTTTTTTTCTTCTTTTGGTACCTTTTTCTCACAAAATAGGCAGCAAAGAGAAAAAAGCACGAGGATCGCCTGATTCCTCACTTTCTCACGCCCTTTCGCTTCCTTAACGACGCCTGGCAACGCCGATTTGCCCGAAAAGTTGTTGTCAATTGTCAAGTCCGTTTAAGGAACAAAAGCCTGGAAGCATATCAGTGGATGACAAGGGTTGGCAAAACCACTTTGGCCGTCTGTTGGAGAGTATCGGACCATCGCTCCAAAATCTAAGTCTGCCTCTCGTACTCAGGAGTGGGTACTACACCCTCATTTCGTCCAATCTTGCTCACGGGCAATTGGTACAGACGATGGTTGTAGCTGGACGAACAATCCGAACTTACGTTCACTAGTCATTTATTGTTGCCGCGTCCACGACTGGAGCGCGGCCTGCGACGACACGGGTTGGCTGATTGATCAAATTGTCAATGGATGGGTTTGTGAAGTTGCGTTCGAGTTTTTGGACTCTCCTGAGCAGGTCGGGGCGGACATGGTGTACATGCGCACCATCAATGGAGTTGGTACATGCCGAGGCAGAAAGACCCACCGTCGCCCTCTCCTGGCAGCAATCAAACCATATAGAGGAAAGAGAACTGCCATTCGCCACCACGTTGAGAGTTGTTGGTGATGCTGATGTTGGCGCTGATGCCATGCGGTCCTTCCGTATAATCGAAGAAGAATTGCAGCATCATGGCTGGCGGGGCCGCGGCATGATCAGAACCTCAACCTGTATGCGTCAGATATCTTTTCGTCTCAGAGTCACTAGGACTTAGGTGTGATTATTTGGTCCATGCTTTCTACGAATCAATTCTGATACGTTCAAGGTCTTCTATGTTTGAATTCAAGAGCTATCCGTGCGATTTTATCAGCGTGGTGGTGGCTTGTAACGTTCGTCAGGACAATGTATCACGGAACGGAAAACTTGCGTTAAATATGATTATCATCGCGCTTCTCGATATCCACGGTTTGGGACTTGCGGACTGGATGTCTTTTTCCTGCAGGGCAGCCTAGCAATCACAGTATAGAGTACCAGAGAAGGACGATGCACAACCTCTTCCAAGACAGAGTGCGATTTCAATTGTATTCGCATACTACGACGCATGAAGGAAGGCACCGTCATACCGCCGCAACGGTATCACTGTGCCCCTTATACAATCAGCATATCATGATTCGTCCGGTATCTTAAGCTTTCGGAGCTATCACGAGATGACTCTCGAACCTCTCTCGGTTGGTCGTTCATCAGCCAGTCGATCACGGCACAATTCACCGTCCTCTCACGTCGCAGCGGTTTGCACATCCCGCGCTCTTCCCTAGCGCCACGCTAACCGGATAAAAAGGGACCCCCGCTGCAACCATCCACCCCAGTCCCCGACTACCCACATCTCCAACTCAATACCAATCATGTCTGTCAGTGTCCACGCTTCTCTCGCGCCGACCGTCTTGACGTTCACACGCTGACCCGTCGACGTTCCACAGGACACCGTGAAGTGCGCTAACGTCGAGGCCAACGGCGGTACCTGCTCGTGGCCCACCTGCGGCTGCGCCGATCCACCGAAGAGCAAGTAATGGCTCCTAGGTCGGAGCGTACAGCGATGAGGTATGTCGCAGTTCTCTGCAGTCTATCTCCATCTCGTGCTAATCTGACGGCTGTTTGCTTGCACCTGCAGGATCGTTGCGTCGCTGTACATTGCTGGCAGATGTTCCTGTATATCAGTTATTGAATGAGCGATTCCATTCTTCCTTGATATCTTGAATGCAGTGAACGAGTGACTGAGTCGTGGGAGGCCGCCACTTGCACCGCCGTTGCCGTGAGCGTTAGGGCAACTTGACGGTTCCTTGAAAGCGCCTATCGGATCAGCAATGAAGCACGGTCTTGACCGAAAAATTCATGGTCCATCAAAATTGTGCTTTATTTGTAAATATAACGATATCCATGCTGAAGGGTGTATCTCGTGAATGTCGCTTTTGTGCGATGTGATGTGTTTGACGTGCTTGCATGTACGATTCAGTGAAATGTCCGGTGTCGTAATCCAAGTGTATATATGTTTGATGTTGTAAAATGCGTGTGCAAGCGAATGAAAGCGAGAGCAGGAAGCATCGCTGGGGACAAACGCCTAGTCAGCACAACACGAAGTCATGTAGGTGAAGGAACGGTGACAGACGGGCATCATAGCAACCTAGTCAAGCCTGAAGATAGTCGTCAACTCGTCCCACACCGCCTCGCGACCATAATAATGGGCCTCAACGAGGCCCCTCGTGCACTTCTCGCACAGCCCAAAAATCTGCGCCATCTTCACGATCCACGCGTCCTTGCTCGCGAACGCGTCGATGCGCGAATACAGGCCGTCGAGCTCCGCAAGCTCCGTGATCTCCCGTGCGGCGCGCTTGCACGCGATCGCCCTGCATGTCCCCAAGGGACCGCTGAGCGGGAGGCGGAAGCACTTGGTCGCTTCGACGTTCGCCTTGAGCATCGCGAAGCGGCCGTTCAGGCAGCGCATGAGGTCCTCTGTGCACAGGCGTTGCACGGTGCCGTCCGCGCTGAGGACGCCCTCCGTGAGGAGGCTCGGGTCGAGCTGACAGCAGAGGTAGAACACGAAGGGGAGGACGGCGTCGAGGGGCGAGGGCTGGATTCGGCGAGCGACGTTGATGATGAGGATGGCATCGGGCCGGGCGATGGACACACAGTATGCGCGGGGCCTGTCCATCGTGCGGACAAACTCGGCGAACGTCGAAGGGAACCGCGCGCAGATGCACTTGGTTGCCTCGGAAAGCAGGTCCCGCATGAGATACTTGTGCGCGAGGCTGATGATGCCCAGTACGACGCGCGTTTCCCTGCTATTCCTGAGGAAGCTTTCGGCGGGGCCGTTTGAATGGATGATGGGACGCCTGAGGCCACATACGCGACTCACGACATGTAGTATATGGTGCGCAGGAGGTACTCGAGATGCGTGGGATCGTCCGGTAGGAAAATCACTGGACATCCGTCTATCATCTCCACGTCGGGAGATGGAGGGATCATGAACATGTCTCGGAAGACGGGAGAATGTTGCAGCAACATGGTCCGATGCACCCTGAACCAGCTGTGTCCCGCACAGAGGATGACGTTGCCGTCGTCGTACCAGAGGTCCTGAACCTGCTCCTCGGGCGTGGGTCCTGCCATCGCCGCCATCGTGCTAGGTTTCGAAACTGTGAGCATCGTGCTGAGGAGGCGAGTTGGCAGTTCAATGAACCGCACAAGTCAAGAAAAAAGTACGGCTCGCTGTAACCCGTCTTATAAGATGGGTTCGACGCTACCAAAAACGGACAGCGCCTGCCCATCCGAGGGCCGGCGCGCGCCACCGTGACATGACAGACGCGTGTCATAACGCGTTGTTTGTCCCGTCACGAAGCCAAACAACGCGTTGGTCCGTGCGCACGCTCACATCTTCCTCATAAGCCTCAGCCGAACATCGTGATTCCTTACCACTCTGGCCTTTTGGCTTAGATCAAGTGTAGTATCTGTTCTTAATAGTTTAACCACTATTATGGAGGCACCGCCTCCATTATTGGTTATCTAATTTTTGCCGCCCTTGTCCCTCGGGCTCTGCTTGCAACCCGAGGACGCGATGACCTTGCTACTGCAGTATTGGCTTGTGTCGTCGGGGGATCTCACTCTTCTCTTTGTTGATTAGTTCTCAGCTTGTCAATGGGCAAGTTGCGATATTTGGCAAATGGAATATGTGGGGATCTATTGGATTTGCTTTGTATCTAATAATCATATGTTCAAATGTACTGCTACGGGCACATTATTCGGAATGATAAGTACAATCCAATCAGGACGGATAGAAGTTCTTGGCTGTAGTGTGATGGAATCATCGCGCATTGAGTTCATCTCGTCATGACCAACACTTGTCGAGGTTGAAGTACTTTCCAATGCGTGGATTGCTTGAGTACGGATTCTTGTTTTGTAACCAGCCATTGAGCATTTGTTGCAGGCTATGATCAGCTTGCGGTGAGTTCACCTGTCACGGAACAGCTGACTGTATACGCACTAATCCAGATTGTTCTGGCAGCGACAGCAGTCCGTGTTCGCAGCGGCGGTGGCCTGTCCCTGTTGAATGATACGGCAGCGTAAAACAAGTCCGAAGCATATCACGTAGACGCTACTCACATAGGTCATGCCGGCTGGCCAACCGTTATAGTTTCCGAGAGTGAGCAACAAGTTTCCGCCATTATTTTGCAGCGTCGAGCTGAAGTAGTGCGCGCCCGTTCGAATATTGTATGCCTTCGCATAGCGTGAGATGCGCTTGAGCGACAACAAGTCCGGACAGATTATTATGCATACGCACGGGATCCTTGCAGTTTCCATTCGGCGCGTCGCCGCACTTATCTTGGGTCAATTGCATTAGGCCCTGTTCGCCAGCGCCGCCCTCCGTATCAGCATTACACTCGCTTTCCTGCATTGCAATCGCCGCAAGCAGGATAGACGGGACTGTTCAAGTTCAACGCTCAGCACATCACATATAGGACCGTACCGCATCAGCTACTCACTTCCCGTCTCATTGGCATGTTGCTCAAACAGCTCCACGTACGGCGCGCACGGCTGAAACGCGTTATCAGAATCCGTGTTCGTAATGGTGAGGGCCTTCGTGATGATATCTGATATCTTGACATCCGGCGGCCGCCAGCCGCCGTCGTTGATGCCGCAATTCAGCCAGTCGATGTCGCCATTGGGCCCACTGGTGGGCGTGACATACGCTGACGGCAGTCGGGATCTGCGTTCAGAGCGCCGTCAACAAACCAAGTAGGACGACGACCACTCACGCGTCGCACCGGTAGGACCGCAGGATGACTGCACGTTGATCACGCCGGGGCTGTTGGAGGCCGACTGGTAGTCGGTGATGGCGACTGGCAGGGCGACTGATGCGGTGGTGTTGTGGCTGTTTTGGGTCGCGTCTCCGTTACTAGCCTAAGGGAGCTCGCGGTTAGTCCCGTCCGCACTCTGATTGCAATAAGTTGCTGCTGCGCAATGCGAAGAGCGCTGACCTGCAGCTTGGGCTGTGCACCGCATCGTCCGTTCACGGAGCGAGCACGACGAGCGAGACGCGCGTGCTGTCCCTGCCGCTGGGCGACGTGGAAGTGCGAGAGACTTGCCTGCGCGGATGCGGCGGTGAGGAGAAGGAGGATCAAAGGAGCGACGAAGTGCATTACGGCGGTATACGGTAGTAGGACTCTCATTCTAGAGGGGCAGCGAGCAGGGCAGATTGCTTCACATTTCAACCATGGTGTCTGTCAATCTGTCGCGATCGAGTTCATTTTGTGACATGCTGCCCAGTAGTACGATGCGCAAGTGGTCCGTGCACAACACGCCTTCCTCAATTTCCGAGGACCCAGCTTGCCCAAGTGCTCATCGTATGGGTGAACAAGACCAGGAAAGAGATGTTTGATGGCAGCCTTGCTCTGACGCCAGGGATTGTCGCGGCATCACTGATGGGAACGAGCGCGCGTCTGTGGCTGAAGATTCTCCATCAACGCAACTGAGGCAACAACACAGCTCGTCGCTGGTGGCACTCTGCTACTCTCGCCTGCTGCCCACTCGTGGCAGTTCATCATGAGGAACAAGCTGAAATGCTGCTTTATGCACATGGGAAACCGATAGCTCGGAACCGTCCAGCTGTCGATGGACCGCGTGCAACGGAACAAGCGAGCGTTATGCGTCACTTGGGAATTGCGAAGGTGTGGACGTCGACTGATGTGGGTCAATATATCATAAACGCGCGATGCAGCCTCATGGGTTGGTTTGTTAGATAGCGGCACGGCAGTGTCCAAGTGCTCTCTGGCAGGCGTCCATACCGTTTTTGCATGCCTTGTACTCAGTGAGACCGCATAGTCCAATTGCGAGGCTTGTGAAGACTCCGAATACGCCAAGGTGCCTCTTTTCGGGCGATCGACGTCGCGCTGAAGTGCTCGCTACCATCAGAGATGTATGCAGTGCAGCAAGAACACAGCTTGCTCCGCTATTGTGACATGCGTAAGTCGTTTCAGCCGCTGCAGGACACTCCACTGCGTCCATCGGCTCTTGCATCAGACAGTCATATCATGTTCTCCTCAGCGGTACCAATGCATGTATACTGGCTGTCTCGAGCTATCCAAGCTACCATCAATATCCGGAAAAATCACCGATTTCCTGCCATATGACTGTCATCACGGCCACAATCCACGAAGCGCCCGATCACAAGCGGTGCAGCGATCCAGGAGAGATCAATCACTCCTGATCTGTCTGGACTCTGCGAATGGCATTGACGTTTCTGATACCGGAAGCATCGCCATGCTCACCATCAGCTTCGTGATGCGGCCTCCTAGCGTGCACGGTGTGTGCTGAAACGGAACTTCGGGAGTGGAATGCCAAGTCGGAGTGGAGGACGCTGAGTTGCTATATAAGATGCCTGCGAATCGTTTGTTTTTCCTCAGCCCTCAGTTGATCTGTGCGAGCCAAGCCCCTCAAGTTCAGGTACTGGATAGTGCGTTGAATAGCTACTGATCATCGTTCAATGGAGTTCTAACGGTCTTGCATTATCACAGCTTGACTTGTTTCGTTCTTATTCGCTATTTTCTTTACGTCACGACCTCTTTCTTTAACGACCTACACCTCTTTACGACACTCTCTTTCCAACACACGTTCTAACGATCATATTCAACATGCGTTCCTCCACCATCGTCGCTGTTGCTGCCGCCGTCGCTGCTCCCGCTCTCGTCGCGTAAGTACCACCAGCGCTCTTCAGGTGACACTCGTCTCACTGAATACTCAGTGCTGCCCCCACCTCCGCGTCCGGAAGCAAGGCAGTCTCTCTCGGTACCGTTTGGGATGTCGCCAAGGACGGCTACAATGCGGTCGAGGCAGGCAAGGGCGTCTACGACAGCTTCAAGAACAAGAACAGGCGGTTCGTGACGCTCTTCATAATTAGGCATAACCCCTCGTTCTGACATCTGACCGCGGTTAGTGAGCTCGCCGAGGAGCTCCTCGCGCGCGAGTTCCGTGGAGAGTACAATATCTTCCGCCCCAACACCGTCCAGCACTACGGCAGGGAGTTCGCTCATGAGCACGAAACGCGCCCGGCCACGTACTCCCCGGAGCACTACGGCCACCATGCGCGTGAGGCGCTGCATTTCAAGTCGCTCCCGAAGTGGACCTGGGTACAGGGCCGGTGAGCACAGTCGTACTGGCGTCACGACAGGAACGGGAGCTGACGCTTCTCGTAGCTCGGTCGTCAGCGACATCGACGACGGCGTCAAGGTTGTGGGCGATGCCGCGAACGCTGCCACGGACGTCCACAATGCGTACGAGTCGTGGAAGAACAGCCATCGCCGTGCGGAGCGCGAGGCAGGCGAGCACTACGGCTCCCTTCACACGAGCGGCAAGGGCCACAAGGGTCTGAAGGGCTACGAGAAGTCCAAGTCCTACACGTCCCAGGCTCATGCCCGCGAAGACGACGGCAGCGGTGCCATCTCGATTGGCTCGATCTTCGATATCGCCAAGGATGGCTACGATGCCTATGAGTCGTATAAGAACAACCACCGTCGGTGAGTTGTCCTGCTCATCCTAGCAGAGGACATTATCGCTGATGACGGTTCGCTTTACAGCGGTGCTGATGGCAGCGAGGCTATCTCGTTGAGCACGATCGGCGAAGGCATCAACCTCGTCAGCGACGCAGCGAACGCGGCCACCGCCGTCCATGATGCCTACGAGGCGTGGAAGAAGAACCACCGGCGTGCGGAGCGCGAGGCAGGCGAGCACTACGGCTCCCTTCACACGAGCGGCAACGGCCACAAGAGTCTGAATGGCTACGAGAACAAGTACTACATGTCTCAGGCTCATGCCCGCGAAGACGACGGCAGCGGTGCCATTTCGATCGGTTCGATCTTTGATATCGCTAAGGATGGCTACGATGCCTACGAGTCGTACAAGAACAACCACCGTCGCACGGAGCGCGAGGCAGGCGAGCAATATGGCTCTCTTCGCGCGAGCCGCAAGGGTCGCAAGGGTTCGAAGGGCTTCGAGAAGTCCAAGTCGTACGCGTCCCAGGTGCATGCCCGCGAAGACGATGGCAGCGGTGCCATCTCGATCGGCTCGATCTTTGATATCGCTAAGGATGGTTACGATGCCTACGAATCATATAAGAACAACCATCGGTAAGACCTTCGTACCCTCATGTGCCGATTTGGATTGCTGATTTGTTTTGGTGCAGCCGCTCTGTGGTCAACGACATTGACGACGGCCTCAAGATCGTCGGCGATGGTGCGAATGCTGTGACTGACATCCACAACGCATACGAGAGCTTCAAGCACTCTCGCTCCCTTCTAGATGAGTTAGATTGAGGCGTCCCATATATGATCTTGGTGTAGTAGTACTTGATGGTGTGTGTAAGTTTGCGACCGTGACGAAATAGCGAATACTTCTGAGGGCTCGCAAAAATCTGTGTGATCCTGTCCGCTTCGGATGCAAGCATTTCTGAATGTCAAAGCTATCTCATGCCGGTGAGGTTCTCTAATCTTCGGATATCTTCTTGCAATGGCTTTGTAGGCCAAACACTGAGCTAAATATTCCCGACGAGGCTCAGACCACTTGTTGCTCTATTCGTGGGCTCCTCGATGCAAATGGGTTCTATAGAGCTCGAAGCACTTTATAAAACGTAGGCCATCGATTTTACGGTACTCTTTCGGTGTTCATCTACCGAGAGTGGCATGATTTGCAAAGTTTTAAAATCTCTATAGACAACGAAATGTACTGCAGCATGCATCCTGAAACCAATCAGCTGAGACACATGGAATCATCTTCGTCGTGAAAATGTTGAGGCGAACTAGGGACGGCGTCCATTAAAGGCCTCATCGGTTCTTTCGACGGCGTGTAGTCGTAGTACTCGCTCACGAAGTCGTACGGGAGCATAGGCTCCGCGGTGTAAATCCAGTCAGCATTGACATCTGGGAGCCATGCGCCCGCATCCGAAACGTCCACCTCCGCGGTATCTTTGCACTCGAGCTGATACATGCGTCAGTACTCGAAAGTAGCGAGAAATGGAACCATCATAATTGTACCTTTGAAGAAACGTTCTCGGTAGAAGCCTTCTCGTTCTGGTCGAGATCAGCCGCTATGTCCGAAATCTTCATCGATGACGAGGCCGCGTCTCCGCATTCGCTGGGCGATTTCTCGAGAACCCGCGCGATTGACGTCTGCAAGCTCGACAACGGAGACATCTGGGAGAGCCTCCTCGACCCTAGGGTTTCGAGACTCCCAGCAGTCGGAGGATTGATGATAACCAAACTGCCGCTGCGCTGGTAACCTGCGACGAGCTGCCATTCGTGCTCGTGCGGAGAGAGTGGTGGGCTGGCTTGCACCTGCACGCTCGCGTCGCGATGAGCATTCTCGTCTGAGCGAGGCAGCGAGAATGAGGGAGGATGAGGCGGATATTCGAATCCTGCTCTGCTGGTACTGCCTGAGGTTGGGATATATGACGCGGAAGGCCGCACGTTCCTGGTGCTGCCGTGGGGGTTGGCTGCATTGGTGAAGTAGGTAACGTGCGCGGCGACGCGGACTAGGCAATCGGGACAGCGACAAGGCAAGCGTGCGTCGAGATTCCTCATGCAAGCCATTTTCGAATGGATCATGCCCTCCCTCTTCGATTGTGACTGTGCATGGGTCTTTTCCCAAAGCGTCGCCTCAGTAGCCGCTTCTGCCTCTTTCTTACGGCCCTTGCGCAGTCTTCGTTTGCGAAGCCTGACGACGAAGACAATGCCGAGGATCAGAGCAACAGCCCCGAGGACGACTCCCAAGGAGATAATATAGGTCCGAGCAGTAGTTTGGTCTTCAGGGATGAGGTCGACGGAGTCTTCGTCAGCAGTAGCATCGACGTCAAAAGAGTCCGGCGTAACGAGAGGAGAGATACCGACAGGCTTTGATAGAGCAGGCGTGAGAGCAAACGCGAGCAATAGAGTCTGTACAACAGCGATGTTGACCAAACGGAGTGACGCCATCGTAGGATAGGTTGACTTGAGCAGACAGCCAACGAGTGAGAGGCACGAATAGAAGATGCTGCAATGAAGTAGTCAATTCTGTGGCTGACGCCGAATTCCAGTCCCGACGAAAGTGCGGCTGACCATTCCGTATCTGAAGGTTTCCGTTCTGTCAGTTGAGATTTCGTTGAGAATAAGTCGGCCTGCTCTCATACCAGCATAACTGTAACAAGCGATAATGTTTTCTGAGTAATATGAGTCATGACGGTACACTGAAAGTCTGAACAAACTTCATCGATCATTGCGGCAGCTCCGATCGACGTCGATCTCTTCCACATCTGAAACTGGACATTCTGTAGCTTACCTGGCATAATTCGTAGGAAAGAACAATTTCCGGCTGCGGTCATGCATTACGACCTCGCCGTCCTGCGAAATATCAACGGTGTAACCTCTCTCGCAAAACATAACGTGCGATGAACTCACCGAATAACCGCGTACAGCCATATAGCCCTCATTCAGAGCGAAGGCGAGGAGAGGAACAAGCAGCATCAACGATAGCATTACGACAAATATCCAAGCAGACAGACTCCTGATAAATGAGAAATTGCCTATTACATAGCCAGATACTGTAGGCATGAGTGTGGATCAACCAAGCGAAATAATATACTACATCATGAGGCCGGAACGAAGGGACTATCCGAACGTTCTGTCCGAAAGGTATCATCCGCACTCGCCGCCGAGGACATCGCCGGCACACCGTCCGGCCGCTCACTCATTTTCCTCCGCTTCTCACTGACCTTCCAGATGACGTCCTTCAGCTCTTGCACGACTTCTCCGCTGGGCCCCCACTGTTCACTGCTTGGCCGCGAGGTAGGGTCGAGCAGTGTGCTGGAGGCATACTTGCTGCTGCCTCGTCGCGCCTTCATCAGCTTGATGCGCTCCTCGCGCGATAGCTTCGATCGCTCGCGCGTAAACGGCGTCACCGTGGATGGGTCTGCTTCATACACCTGCTCAACACCTGGCGGCGGGAGATGTTGCGACGACGCAGTCAACAATAAATGTGATGTCGCATCATCCAGTTCCTCGTCATCGCGATTAAGTGAGACAGTCAGACCGAGTCCTTGCGTGGTAGTGATAGCCGGCTCATCGGTCTGACGGAAAGCAGGAGACGTTGGTCCCAGTCTGTCAGATGCTTCGCTCTCACTATCTCTCCCCAAGCCGGGAGTGTCGTCCGCAAAAGGGTCCAGTTCATCTGGTGGTGAAGGCCGAGGAGACACGATATCGAGCAGACGTTCTCGCCCGCGCTCACATTCCCGCAACGCATAGCCAAGCTCCTTCCTGAGGCGATCATACGCCTGGAATGCAGGGTGTTCCTGCACAACAGTCGCACCGTCGGGCCCGGGCACGGCAGTGCGATCAGATGACGCGGGCTCGTACAATGCAGCAACGCATTGTTCAAGATGATCCCTCGCGTCATTCAATGCGGACGAGATCGCGTCGACGTGTACCGCGAATCGCGTGAGGTGGCTTGGCATCGGCGCGAACGATATCATTTCCGCCATGGTGCGAGCACCGTGAGACTGGGCTGCTGCTGACGGCCCCGCTTGCGGCTCTGGACTCGGCCGCTCGTCCCTGACGCGCTTCTTCTCTGCGTCGTCGAGGGCCTCCATAAGGCGTGCGGATGCGTCTTCGAATGTACTTGTCAACAGCGCCATCAACGACCGCACGTCCTCCCAATATGAGTCGTCTTCATCCTCGCCGAACCGAAGGGCGAGTAGATGAGAGCATGCGTAGCGCTTTGCAGAGAGTGCGCCGTGGAGAGCCAGTTGGAGGCCGGATAGGGATAAGGGGTGGCGGGTGGTGTGTACTGCAGTGAATCGGGAGGAAGACGGGAGCTTTGGAAATTGTCTCGGGCTGGAGGTAGCCGAACGGCTCGTGCTCGGAGTTCGAGGCTGATGGCTGGAATAACTAGGCGGAGGCACACCAAACGTCTCAAGTGCGGCACTCCTCCGTTTTCGTTGCAAATCCAAGGCTTCAGCACCGAAAAATGACTCGTGAGGATTTGGCAGTTCATCAAAATCATCGTCGGTATCGTCTTCTTCCTGCACGTCGTGCAATGGCAGATTAACTTGAGGGCTTGGAGGCGCACTTACGCTCGCGAGCCGTGACGCTGGATCGGCAAACAGGCTATATACGTCCGACCTGCGATGGTCTCGACGCTTAGCAAGATGCGCGGTAGGACTACCCGCGTGTGCTAACGCGGCGTACGACCCATTCCACGTTGCGCGCTTGTTCGTCGGCGCAGACGTTGTTCGTTGACGGCTCATTGGTACGGATGCGGGGCGAGGATGATCGGGGAACGAGAAGGAGGTCATCAGGGGAGAGGAGGGCGCATACATCTCAGAGAGTTGGGAGAGCTGTGATGGATCTGTCAGCGCAGATATCAGCTGACGTACGTTGTCGCATTGTGTCTGTGTCGTGTGCAATGACGACTGGAGAGAAATGCGCAGACCAGAGGATGGCGAGCGCGGATTGGTGGGGCCATAGAAGATACTGTCGTGGGTAATGAGGCGAGATAAAGAGTAACGTAGAGTGTCGCTCACCTTCGCTCTTCCTTCTCGATAATCGAGACAGCCTCATTGACGGCGGAATCCCAGACGTTGCCCGCCGAGATGAGCTCATTCACTGCATCCAGCGTCTGACGACGCTTCTCAGAAGAGAATACCATTATAAGTGCGCGCCACTCACTGCCGTCATGGTACTGGCTTTCTCGCTGTTACCTTTGGCAACATGCCAGATGTACGATGCACCACCGAGCAGGAAGATGGCAACGAAGTAATACTCGATAGCAAGCGCAAGAGCTCCTAGTAAACCAAGAACGACTGGCCATTGCAGTTCGCCTAATCTAGTGATCGCTGGAAGATGATGCTCCTGACGAGCATTCTGACTCTCCGAGTGCTCCCTCTCGCTATCCTGTCTTCCAGACAGGCCACGCGCAGGTTCGGGATGACACGTACTTGGTGTGGAAACATGCCGCATATACGTCGCACCACCAAGCAGGAGAACGGCGATGAAGTAATACTCGATAGCAAGCGTGAGAGCTCCTAGTAAACCAAGAATGAGTGGCCATGGCAGCTCGCTGATAGCAAATATTATCGGTGATAGGTAATCCTGGTCGGCATTCGGGTTTGCTGAGTATTCAATCTCGTTATCCAGTCTTCCAGGCAAGTCAAGGGCAGATGTGCGACGAGACGTGCTTGATGGAGCAGCTAGCGATGTAGACAGCAGCGATGACGAGATAACGTCATACTTAAAACGTTCGGCAAATGTGTTCTCAGGTGATGATCCGGAGGGAAATAGGAAGTTCGCAAACTAGGAGTAGCTGGTATCAGTATTCAGCGGCATTAAGGAGCACATTAACATGTGTGAACAGTGTCAGGTGTAACTGGCGACGTTGAAGCATGGAAGGACCACATCCTCCCAGTCTAGAGTTGTGCTGAAAGACATAAATAGAATCCTCATAACGTTATAATACCATTCACCGATAGGAGACATGTAAGCTATGCAGTTGAACGGCTCCATGAGACACCAGTCCGCCCAGCTGCATCTTGCATGCCTCTCGTCCAATCAAGTGGGTGTCTCGACGAAAGCATGACGAGACGTTAAACGTCGGTAACCTAGGTACGGCCGGCAATTACAGAGTAACTGCCGCTCGAACGGGTGCCGATCATTCAGCGCGAACATGTAATCAATCGCTCGCCACGGCAAATGCACAGCAGCCGCATCGCTGGCACACCGCGAGCACAACCTCCCCGCTCCAAAGGCGTATCAAAGGGAAGGGGCATCTGAACAGCAGTCATAGATCGAAGCACCATCACAATAACTCACCTCAATAGCTTGTATCAAGAATTGTGGCAATCGTTCGATGTCAATCCATCTCCCGGCCTCCACGACTGAATCCTCCAGTTCCGCCGTAAAGGCAGAGTCCCCACCAGGTACAGGCTGTGCGCTCTCTCCAGTACCTAAATTCGGTGAATTCGAGGCCGCCCTGACAGCAACCGACAGCACGCACGTCTGAAGTACTCCTCGAGCGGGTGGTCGTCAAATACAGGCTCCGCCATGCGAATATGGACAGATGATAGGTCGCCGAGGTCGAGCGAGGTCGTAAGGTGCAAATAAAGAGCGGAAAGGTTTGGAATAGAAGAAAATATGTATGGCGGCGGCGGCGCTACAGTGGGCAGGACGACGGCGGCGACGCCTCCAAGCGTGCGAGCGGGGACTGTGACCGTTGTGACATTTGTGTGATCTAGGACGCGCTCACGTGCCTCTGGTGTGACAGACGCGTCTTTCACGCGGCGGACCTCGGAGTGGCAGCATGAGTTTCGCGACCTTCCGTCCGCCCTACGAGCGCAAATACCCAGTAAGTTTTGGTAAGCTTTCTGCAAGTTGGTACTTCTGTCAAGAGAATGTTCACGATGTACGTTATCAAGCAGACGGACACCAAATACTTACCGTCAAGGGGCATCTCGATGGTTGACGGTCACATACGTGCCGACCGTCTCGTCGACAGACGATCATCGAGCAACATCCTGGAATATGCAGGTCAACATCACCGATATTTCAACATTTCTATGACGATCTCGAGCTCTTGCTCGGAAATCAATCATGTGTGAGTCGACTTTACGAGCTACTGCTCCTTGCTAAAGACGCGTCAATCAAACAGTTTTTACTTGCGCGGTGTGAGCCTAATCACGCTTGCCAGTCTACATCGACGGTGTTCAACACACTCCAGAAAGCCCATTCGGAAAAAGATCGCAATCCAGCAGCACTGCCAAAAGAGGTTACTGCTTTGCTTAATTCTCTTTCCACAAGCATCTCCAAGATCTTTTCTCCCAGCTTATTAGACGATCCCTGATCCCAGGCACAGCCCTCCTTCAGGCTCACACAATCCACTCTGCTTCGATTCGGCTTGCCAGTCTACATCGACGATTCAAAGCGCATTCATTCCAGAAAGCCTGCCCGGAAAAGACAGCAACCCGCCAAAAGAGGCCACTGCTCGGCTTAATTCTCTCCATCTCCTCTTCACAACGATCTTCCCTCCCAGCTTTCTAGATGTACCCAGGCACAGCAGTCCTTCACAAGCTCACACAACCCAATCTGCCTCGCCCAAGCGATCATCTAATCTTCTAGTTCCCCATTCACGACATCTATGCTCCGAGCCACCCCTGGGTTTCCAAGTCGCGTACACGAACCCTAACGACTCGGCTACCGAATGACTTGGATTGGCCAACCACTCGCCCAACACGACGCCGCCCCTGCCGCGGCTGAAAACCCCTTGACCGTACCTACCCTCCACCTTCTACTCGGCCGAGCAGCCACGACACTCCCTCGCTTACCGTGAATCGCTACTAGCATATACACACTGTGCTCC